CCAATTTTGCAAAACTGATCACGAGCCCCGATGCAAAGCCGCCGCCCCCCCCCAAGGGGGGGCAACCTGCCCCGCTGCGCCCCTCGCCCCCCCCAAAAAAACGCTACCTCCAATCCCGAGGACGCCCCAGCATCTGCAAGCGCAGCGCACGAGGAACGGCCGGGATGCGCGCGAGATGCTTCCCACGCCACGGGGATAGCGGCTGAGCGCCGCCGGAGCTTTGACGGGCGTGCGGCTCGGCCAATGGTCAGCGGCCGGCCGCGACAGAGGGGGCCGGACCGTCTGGATCAGAGACTTAGAAAGGGGAAGAAAAGCCCTCCGTTTCTTCCTCGGAAAGACAAAAAAGAGAGGCGCTTTTTTATTTTTTTGGATTAAAGCACCGGCTGCAATGCTCAAGGTGGACGCTGGGCGGCAGCGGAGAGACCTAGAGCCGGCCTGGGTCTTTAGCGCCCCCTGGTGGCGCTCGGGATTTTTTGCACTCCTAAATTAAGATAAGATGAGATAAGATAATCCTTAATGATATTTTTATACTGTGGGCACAACGGCACACATCAAAAATGAAGTTTAGTGGCCCGCTCTCAAAGTGAAACACATACATGACGCACACCTAAACATACTATCAACAACATATGTATAGATAAGACAAGGCAAGACAAGATAAGCTTTATTGTCGTTTTTTTTACTGTGGGCACAACGGCACACATCAAAAATGAAATTTAGTGGCCAGCTCTCAAAGTGAAACACATACATGACGCACACCTAAACTAAGGTTTTTGGACCTTTCTTGGCACAGTTGTTAAGTGAATCGCTGCAGTGGTTAAATTAGTAACCCAGTTGTTAAGAGAATCTGGCTTCTCCCATGGATTTTGCTAGTCAGGTTGCAAAAAAGGGGATCATGTGACACCAGGACACTATGACAGTCATACAGGTGAGTCGGTGGTCAAGCATCCGAATATAAATCACCAGACCCCAGAGATGCTGCAAGTGTGAAAAGCGGTCGTGAGTCACTTTTTTCAACGCCGTTGTAACTTCGAACGGTCACTAAATGAACTGTGGTAAGTCAGGGACCCCTTATACCAGGGGGGGGGGTCTTTAAACTTGGCCCTTGGATGACTTGTGGACTTCAACTCCCAGAATTCCTCAGCCAGCGTGCCTGGCTGAGGAATTCTGGGAGTTGAAGTCCATAAGTCATCCAAGGGCCAAGTTTAAAGACCCCTGCCTTATACTATATTAACATTTCAAAGGGGAGTTGTTCTCTTTTAATTCTAATCTTTGGCTTCCTCTCGTGTTCCATCTTACCACTTTTTTCCCCAAAAGTCAAACCATAAACCGTTTTCCCGGTGAGGGAAGCATTCATCCCATTATTTTAAAAATCCCATTTCAAATCAATCGAGACCCATCACAACCCATTTCCAGGTTTCCAGGCCTAACGTTGCCCAGCCACTCCAGTCCTGCGCCTCATCGCATCTCCCCTCTTCGTCTTTTGAAACGCAAAATACATAAAATGCTCGTGTGTGTGTGTGTGTGTGTGTGTGTGTGTGTGTGTGTGTGTGTGTGTGTTTTGCCGGTTCTTCTTTTGAAACAAAGGTTGGGCTTTTCCAACCAGTTTTGCCTATCTCCCAAGAAGGAAAGGAATGGCTGAATCCAGTCTTAAAGTCTCTCCAGGACACAGCAAGTAGGCAGCTTTGTTGAAAATGATTTTAATTTTCCCATTTTTATCTTTTATTGCTAGTAAGGCAGCCCAGGTGTTTCTCTCGTGTTTTTAGGTTTCGGGGCTAGATGCCAGGTGTGGAGGCCTGAAATAGCACTAGCAATAGCCCTTAGACTTACACACCACTTCCCTGCTTTACAGCCCTCTCTAAGCAGTTTACAGAGTCAGCATATATTGCCCCCCCCCAACAATCTGGGTCCTCATTTTACCGACCATGGAAGGACAGAAGGCTGAGTCAACTCTGAGCTGGTCAGAATCGAAGAATTGGCAGGTAGTGGAATTAGCCTGCAATAAGGCATTAGCAGGGAGGGAGGGAGGGAGGGAGGGAGGGAGGGAGGGAGGAAGGAAGGAAGGAAGGAAGAGAAGGAAGGAGGCAGGAAGAAAGGAGGGAGGGAAGAAGGAAGAAAAGAAGGAAGGAGAGGAAGAAGAGAGGAGGGAGGAACAAAGGAATGAAGAAAAGGAAGAAAAGGAAGGAGGCAGGAAGAAGGGAGGGAGGAAGAGAAGGAAGGAGGCAGGAAGAAAGAAGGGAGGGAGGGAAGGAAGGAAGAAAGAAAGAAAAGAAGAAGGAAGGAGAGGAAGGAGAGAGGATGCAGGAAGAAAGGAGGAACGAAGGAATGAAGGAAAGGAAGGAGAAAAGGAAGGAGGCAGGAAGAAAGGAGGGAGGGAGGGAGGGAAGGAAGGAAGGAAGAAAGGAAGGAAGGGCAATAGCACTTAAGAGTTAACTGTATATACCACTTCACCGTGCTTTTCAGCCCTAAGTGGTTTACATAGTGATGATGGCCCCCACCTATCTGGGTTCTCATTTTAGCGACCTTGAAAGGACGGAAGGCTGAGTCAACCCTGAGGCCCCGTTAGAACTCCTGGCGGTGGGCAGATTTCACCTGCAATACTGCATTCCAACCACTGCGCCAGCATAGCTCACACAGGTAGCATAGCTGGCTGGGGAATTCTGGGAGTTGAAGTCACCTCTCTTAAAGTTGGCCGAAGTTGAGAAACAGGGCCTTAGAGAGTTCTAGGTAGTACAAATGAAAGCACTGCCATTTTATTCACAGCACCATCCTGAAGTCCGGAAGTGACTGACCCAGGATGAGCCCCAAAATTCCTCTAGACAACGAAGTCCCATTTGTCATCTTCAGGCTGGTGTTTTCGGCTTCGTGCTTCTAGGAGCTCCTAGAAGCACGAAGCCGAAAACACCAGCCTGAAGATGACGAATGGGACTTTGTCGAAACGTCGCCAAGACACTTCCAATTTATAATATATAATTCTACATTTGTTCCAAGAATTGTCTCCAGAAGTTGTAGGTGCTTCATCACTGGAGGTTTTTAGGAAGAGATTGGACAACCATTTGTCTGAAATGGTACTATAGGGTTTCCTGCCTGAGCAGGGGGTTGGACTAGAAGACCTCCAAGATCCCTTCCAACTCTTGTTATTCTGTTAATGTTTTGTGTCTGGTTGCATATGCAAAAACATTTCTCAGCAAATGAATCTGACAAACAACATTAAGTAAAACAAAATAATGAGGTTTATTTTTTTTGCAAATAAAAGGTACATCCAAGTCAAAAATTCCTTCGGACAGGAAGGCATTAACAAACATACTCACTCCAGCCATTTCAATGTTCGTCTGTATGATCTTAAAAAAACATTTAGATGATCTTCTTACTGAAATAAAGTCTGAACTTTCGAAACAACGACAGCTTATTAACAAAACAGTGCAGAATGCGCACAAATAAATAGCACCACTGCAACAACTATTAGCAAATAAAACATTTAAAATGGGCATTAGCAGAATAATAGCTATCACGGACGTATTAACAATTTTGAGGGGAAAAAAATGTGGCATTGAACCAACTGCTTTCATTTTAATACGCCCTTCTTAACAATTTGATGGAGCAGGAAGACAAGGAATTAACGTTTTAATTAAGCAAGAGTGTGGTTTCATGGAACACAACAGTTCCTTTCAGGCACAAATCTCACAAACGTAACTCGGAAAAACAGTTTTGAACAGCTAGCTTGCGTTGTTTATAAAACCAAACGCCTAGAGCACTTGATCACTCAGAATTTTAATATTTTGGCCTGATTTCCAGAAGAAGGTTCCGTACTTTACATTCCCTATGTTCTGAATCTTAGATCATCTCGGTTCTTCGGATGGGCATGTGGCAACCTCTGCGTGAAGGACATTGCTAAACACACAACGGTTTGAAGCTGGCTGAAATGTTGAGCTCAGGATGAACTGCCAGGTAAAACTCACACAATCCTTTGGATATTTATTGCAAGGTTCATCCAGTCTAATACACTACTAAACCTTGGCTGTCCAATCTTGACAACTTCTTTTAAGACCTGTGGACTTCAACTCCCAGAATTCCTCAGTCAGTCACGCTGGCCGAGGAATTCCGGGAGTTGAAGTCCTTAGAGCAGTGGTCTTCAAACTTGGCCCTTTTATGACTTGTGGACTTCAACTTCCAGAATTCCTCAGCCAGGCACGCGTGCCTGGCTGAGGAATTCTGGGAGTTGAAGTCCACAAGTCATAAAAGGGCCAAGTTTGAAGACCCCTGTACTAAACCATTCCTTCTGATATAGGTGGGAACAGTAGAGCTGAACCTACTGCATACACCATAGAAAAATTAGATATTTTTGAAAAATACAGATTGCATCAGACATCTACTGCATATCTATTATTTAATAAAAACATGTGACACTTTTCTTTGCTGGTAAAACAAAAAGGAAGAACATGTAGCTCCATTCAAGCTGTTTGTGCCCTTGAAGATGGAATATGAATTCAGCATAGACTTATTAACAATAAAACTAGCTTGTTTTCTATTTTTTTTTTAAAAAAAATGTTCTAGTTTTGCTGCCATGTAATCTGTGGAACAATTGATGGAAAGCATTTGAACCATTTAAAAATTGGTCTGAACCTTAGAATTTAAAATCCATGGACCCTCCGCATGGATTTAAAACCTCGACTCGTTTTGCAATTCAGACAAAAAATATTGTACCCGTTTGCGCACATACTTCTAATAAAGTGACCAAAATCGGTCACTTTTAACCTTTAAAATCCTATAATGGAAGACACTGTGCACTTTCAACTCTGCATAGAAAACCAACATTCCTTAAACTCTGTATTGCTGGAATTTACAAACAATTTCAACCGCTTCGATATAAATAGTTAAATCTTTGTTTCTACTTACAAACTATTATTACATTCATATCCTACAAAGATACTCTCTGGAAACAGAATCTAAAAAAATAACCTAACCAACACATTATTGAACTTTGCTTTTAGTAAGTTTGACCTGGTCAGAATACAGTTCCCCCCCCCCAAAAAAAAACAACACTGTCCTTTGTGTGTCATATATAAATAAATATATTTATATGTATATATTTTGTCAAGCTGGCCTAATTTGACGTCTCAAGTTGATTCTCCAGTTTCTTCTGACAAAAAGTCTCTTGGAGCAAAACGGAGCAATCTCAAACTATCGTTGCCGGCTCAAACTTTACGATCCTGTATGAAAACTATTTTTAATGCTGAAATGAAAATATACATAAAATTCCTATTTGTTTGGAACAACTCTGTGTTATCCATCGGTGAAATCAAGACAGGCAGAAGCTTTCCCAAAGCAGTGGTCCAACGTATAACTGTGACAATCCTATTTCTAAATATTTTGGGGAAGAAAGACTTGCTTATACATAAATTCCCGTCTTTGGGAAGTGAGGACTTTGCGTACTCTCTGTAACAACCACTAAGAACTATCTGTGCTTATTATTGGATTCTCTGAACACAGTTCAGGGAAGTAGAAGACAAAAATTGGTTTATTCAGGCACACAATGTACCTGTAATAACTTGACATTTATGAATGAGTCTTCATAATGTCAACATTGCTTGTAATGATTTATATTATTGTCCTAAATATGAAGAGCAGCGATAAAACTCTTTCCCAGAAAGCCCAGTCAAGTAGTATTTGTGGAAGAGTTCATCTATTGCCCACAACTGAATCTTTTTAAAATAAAAAAAAATATAAGATTAGGTCTACTCAAATCGTCAGATAGGGCAAAATATTAAAGACACCGCTGAAAACTCACAGTAATGAATTTAATTCGGCATTAATGTCATGCTAATTTTTTTTCTAAAAGAAAAAAAAACACCACTGAGAGGTTTCAAGAGAAAAAGGATTTTCAACATTATTTTGCAAATAACGGTTTGCACATTATTTATGCAATGCTATTGCGTACAACAGGATGCTTTGTAAAAGTCATGCCTTTGGTATATAAAATACAGATTCTCAAGGTTGTGAACTCTTTAACCAGTAGCTGCTGGAAAGAGCCCGTTTTTAAATAAACGAAAACTGCCGGAAGACCTGCCCCTAACTATTGTTCACTTGCTCCCATTCAGACATGCCAATACTGAAATGTTCGTCATATTTATGAAATATGAAATTCGGGACCAATGCTAAGATCTGTTTCAATTTCAAGTTACACGCTGTTCTGTAATGCTTGAGAACTTCAACGTTCTTTGCACCAACAATTTAATTTCATCAATTCTGCACGCTTGAATACCGGAAAGAGCACTTGAGGGTTACGATCACCAATGGAGGAACTGGCCTCTTCAATTTTCAGACTGTCAGAAATCCAATTTCTTCAGCTGTTCATACGTCACAAAGAACTAGTGCTTATTATTAAAGAAAAAAAACAGGCAGTGTTGAATCTTACTACTAAATGAAAAAGGGTCCCTAATTACATTTAGCTGCTTTTCCTCCAGTTTCTCCAGCAAATCTGCTCGCTCCTCTTGCAGTGACTCGACCAGATTAGCCCTGTAGGGCAGCAGTTCTCAACCTGTGGGTCGGGACCCCATTTGGGGTCGAACGACCATTTCACGGGGGTCGCCAAACAAAGCAGTCCGCCATTTTTCCCCCTTTTCCTTAGCTGTGCTCCTCCCTTTTATTCTATTGGCTTTTGAAAGCCAATAGAATAGACGCTCTTGAATAGAGTCTAATTCTATTGGCTTTCAAAAGCCAATAGGAATTGTCCAGGCTGTCTCTGCCCTGCTGAGCCCGCCAAAAGTCCCATTCTGCAAACGGTGCTGCACCAGTTGAGTAGTCCTCGACTTACGACCGGTTGAGTAGTCCTCGACTTACGACCGGTTGGGGGTCGCAGCATTAAAAAGGTTGAGAACCACTGTATTAGAATAAGAGAATCCCGAAGAGAATCCCAGTTTCTAACTAAGAAATTAATTGAAAAAGGAGTGCATTTCAGATGGCCGATTCCAGAAGGGATTTTGATCTATTGAAGCAAAAATAATAATAATAATTATAACTTTGTAAATGAAAATGTGCATACACTTGCTATGATGGTCCCGCGATTACCAGTGAAGAAAAATGAATGAATTTTGAGTAAATGAAAATCCAGAAACCCATTGCTCCCAGAGGGTTAGGCAACAGTGCAAGATTCTTATTGTTGAATAAAGTGCAGTTATTTCTAATTGTAAAACCCCCCACAATAAATTGATAACTGGCATAAATATTTTAAGACAGAGAAAGCAGAGCAGATATTATCTTTGCTTGGCGTAAGTGGATATTCACTTACTTTTTGTTTAGAGAATTTCACATTTTATATAAACGTCTGAAAATATAGAGCCAGTTAAGGCAACAGGCTAGAAAGCACGAGGCTGTGAATTCAAGTCTTGCCTTAGCCATAACACCCAGCTGGGTGATTGTGGGCCAATCACCAGGAGACTGGGAGTTCTAGTCCCGCCTTAGCTATGAAAATCACCTGGGTGACTGTGGGCCAATCACCAGGAGACTGGGAGTTCTAGTCCCGCCTTAGCTGTGAAGACCACCTGGGTGACCATGGGCCAATCACCAGGAGACTGGGAGTTCTAGTCCCGCCTTATCCATGAAAGCCGGCTGGGTGACTTTGGGCCAATCACCCTCTCTCAGTCCCACCCACCTCACAGGGTTATTGTTGTTGTTGTGGGGAATATAGGAAGAAGAAGGTGTGTCGGACATATTTGCTGAACTGAGTTATTTGTAGAAATAATAAAGGCAGGGTATAAATAAATAAAAGAAAATGCATGGAAAAAAGGATACAATGATATTCCAAGGCCCAAGCCTTAACCAGTTGGGCCAGAATCCTTTGTACAAGGCGAAAAAACCTTCGTTCTTCCAGGTCTACGAAAAATAAGAGAAAACCTCTGAATATTCCATAATCCACGCTCGGCACAGGAGACACCGTCTCTTTCCCTCTCTGCAAACAGAAGCACCTCCCATCCCGTCCCGTATCACAAACGAAGGACGGATGAAGACTGGATGGTGGGCCTTGCACTAATGGTCAAGAGTCTCCTTTCAAAACCAGCTGGCCAGGGTGTCTACAAGCCGGCCCCAACAGAAGGTGTTCTTAAGGACCTCCTGCTGAAAAGTTCTCCACGAATTCACTCCTAGGAAAGAACTGGCCTGAAATCAGGGACTATCTGCAGCTTCAGCCTCTTTACGCACAAGGGAGGGACGTCTTCCCCATCAAGTTTAATCCTTACGAGTTGACCCCGAGGTCTGGAGAGGCTTTTTCCAAAGGAGAACTGAATTCTGATTTAAAACAAAAGCAGGAATCTTCCCCTCCCCTTACAGGCACCAAGGATGGAGGCAAAGAGAGTCTAAAGGTCAGTTTATAAATAAGGAACAAATACCGTATATTCCGGCGTATAGGGCGACCCGGCGTATAAGACGACCCCCGAGTTCGACACCAGGTTGCAAGACGATCGACGCCAAGTCACATGTCTAGAAAGTCATCTTATACGCCGGAAACTACGTTATTTCTGGTGTATAAGACAATCGACGCCGAGTCGCATGCCTAGAAAGTCGTCTTATACACCGGAAACTACCAGTATTTCCGGCATATAAGACGATCGACGCCGAGTCGCATGCCTAGAAAGTCATCTTATGCGCCGGAAACTAACCAGTATTTCCAACGTATAAGGCGATCGACGCCGAGTCACATGCCTAAAAGTCATCTTATACGCCGGAAACTACGTTATTTCCGGCGTATAAGACGATCAACGCCGAGTCGCATGCCTAGAAAGTCGTCTTATATGCCAAAAACTACCTTATTTCCGGCGTATAAGACGACTCGGTGTATAAGACGACCCCCGAGTTTGGAGGCTGTTTCAATGCTCTCAAAAGTCATCATACGCCGGAATATACGGTAGATGCTATCCAGATGTTTTGGACCACGTGTTCCCATCGTCCCTCGCCTCTGAAAGTTGGGACTCATGATGGTTGAACCACATCGTGATTTCAGTCACGGTACAAAACAGACACACACCCCCTCATTCTGCAACACCGGACCCTGCAAATTGTGTTCGGGATAAAGGTCTCTTATCTAACGTTGTTCTTGCCACTGAAGGACGTCTACGGACCTGAAGCAAGCAGTCTAGAGTTCCCTTGTAGCCGGGCTGGGGCCCGGTTCGTACGGTTCTCTGGTTCATCATCCGCGTCCTCACCACATCAATGGGGTTGGATGCCAGCGCTCCCGCCAAGCCGCAGGTAAAGCTGGCCCTGAGAGGAAAAATTCAGAGGATCATCCAAAGGGCCGTCTCGGAAAACGAGAAAACGCAACGGCAAGTGTGACTGTTTGGCTTCCCCAGAGGATGCCGTAGGGCAGCGTTTCCCATACTTCAGACATGTCAAACTCGCGACGTCACATGACATCGCGCGACATGTTGGAACTTTTTCCCCATTGCCGGCAATGGGGAGGGCGCAATTTCATCGTGACGCATCCGGCCCACGGGCTGGCAGTTTGACACCTCTGCCTTACTTGATGACTTTGACATGGGGGGCAGAGAAGGAGGAGAGGGAAGGAAGAGGAAGAGGAGGAGGAAAGGAAGAGGAAGAAGAAGAGGAGGAGGAGGAGAAGGGAAGGGAAGGAGAAGGGAAAGAGGAGGAGGAGGAGGAAGAGGAGGAGGAGAAGATCTTCTTCCAGGGTGATCATGATAACTATTGAGAGAAGATAAACATGGATTGTTTTCCCCAGACATGGAAACAATGTTTTTGAAGAACTGAAAACAAGAAGATGATGGTGATATTGGAGGAGGAGGAGGAGGAGGAGGAAGAGGAGAAGAAGATCTTCTTCCAGGGTGATCATGATAACTATTGAGAGAAGATAAACATGGAAACAATGTTCTTGAAGAACTGAAAACAAGAAGATGATGGTGATATTGGAGGAGGAGGAGGAGGAGGAGGAGGAGGAGGAGGAGGAGGAGGAGGAGGAGGAGGAGGAGGAGGAGGAGGAGGAGGAGGAGAAGAAGAAGAAGAAGAAGAAGAAGAAGAAGAAGAAGAAGAAGAAGAAGAAGAAGAAGAAGAAGAAGAAGAAGAAGAAGAATAAGAAGAAGAAGAAGAAGAAGAAGAAGAATAAGAAGAAGAAGAAGAAGAAGAAGAAGAAGAAGAAGAAGAAGAAGAAGAAGAAGAAGAAGAAGAAGAAGAAGAAGAAGAAGAAGAAGAAGAAGAAGAAGAAGAAGAAGAAGAAGAAGATCTTCTTCCAGGGTGATCATGATAACTATTGAGAGAAGATAAACATGGATTGTTTTCCCCAGACATGGAAACAATGTTCTTGAAGAACTGAAAACAAAAAGGTGATGGTGATATTGGAGGAGGAGGAGGAGGAGGGGGAGGGGGAGGAGGAGGAGGAAAGATGTCGTTGAAAATGTCTCAACCTTTCCCTTCTGGTGATAATTACACAGACGGATTCAAGCTGGAACCTCAGAAACCCTCGGGCAATCCTCTCTTTTCCTTCTCTTAAACCAGGGCTGTCCGTCTCGTCTCCTTCAGGACTTACAGCAGGTGAGTGTACACCGTGTCTCCCATGTAGCCACTGAGGATGATATGCTTTTTGGTAAGGTCATAAACGGGCAGCTCCACGCCGACCACCACCGCTGCTCTCTGAGCAGTAAGTGAGACTCCCTGCGAAAAGAAGAGCACAGCCATAGAGTCAAAACAAAGCAACTTGTCCTTCAACAAACAATTTACAGCTTTATCTGTGATATCAGCGTCTTTATTGAGCTGTTCTACTCTGGGACAATCCTTACATTGATTCTGAAAATATGGGATCGATGTTTTTAATAAATCCATCGCGAAAGAAACTGAATTATTTTTATTTCCCCAAGAGAAAGTCCAAGGTAGAATCTGTCAAATACCAGAAATTCTCCATCCATCAGTTTTCCTGTTAATAATTCTTAAGAGTTCTCCACGTACCCAGTTTTCCCGTTAATAATTCTTCTTAGAAAAAAAAACTGCAAGTGTTCTCCCAAATAGAGTAGTGGCCAAAACGGTGGAAACCTTTTGGGAAAAGTGTACAGTGGAAATGTCACCTTTGGTTAAGTTTCCACCCATTTTTCTTCTAATTTCTTTATAACTGTAGCCTTGTTCACTTAATAAGACTATTTTATATTGCTTTTTGGATGACCGGTCAACTCTTTGCACCATGACTTTAATTTTATTACGTTTTACAAGCTCACTCAATGAAAGAACACAAAAAAACCCAACCAACTTGATAGCAATCACACAACACACTGACAAATGTCCTCCTCTCAGCTTCAATACACGACATCGATAACTAGATCCTACTGTGATCTGATTGGCTCATGGCCAAAACAAGATGACACCCAATTGGCTCTCTAAACACTCATGCTCATTGGCTACCATCAGATGAAGGAAAGCTACCTGACATCAACCTAAGCAAGTTGTGCTTCTTTTTTCTGGTTATTTGGCTATAACTTTTCATAGAATACAGTACAGATAATTGAACAAACGTCGTTGCATTACATTCTTGATTAAATTATCTTTCCATTGATATATAATTTTATGGTACTACTCCCCCCCAAAAAGTGGTGTTATTAGCCATCAAGCCTCAAAAATACACTTTTCCCAAAAGATTTCCACAATTTTGGTCACTACTGTATTTCAGAATCACAGAGATGGACGCTAATGAGGAACAAACCGGAATTTCTCTCCGTCTTACAGATTTTCAATGTGTTTTCTACAATCTGCAGGTCCTGCTTTGTGTAGGGAGAATAAAAATAATTCAGATTTTTTCATGATGGGCAGCTTCGCTTCGCTGATTCCCAGGTCGTGTCACGGACAATATGGTGTTCTTTTGCTTTCAGTGCAAAAGGATCCCTTAAATCCACAAATTAAGAAACATTTCTCCCTATCTATAAACACGATAGATGCAACGTTTCAACCTTAAATTAAAAAAAAAAACTAGGTTTTGCCCAGTCTGGGGAAAAACAGCCACAATCCAGAAGGAGTTCCTTTGCAGCGCTCGTCCTGGGAACTTTCTCAGCTCCAGAACCAGGAGAATTTGGCACGTTTCTGAAATGGATTGAGTTAACTTGCCTTCCACAAGCCTCGGGTTCCTTCCTTCTGATAAATATTCATGAAGTTCCCAAGCATTCCACCAGCTACGAGGCTGCCTTGAACTTGCATCCTGATCTAGGATTTATCGGGGATAGGAAAGAAGAGAACAGAACAGAAAAGGTGTCACCTATGGATCGGGGTGCAGTTTTTCCCGTGATGAAATGAGGGCATCGATCAAAACTGCCTTGCTGACATTCATTGGGCTCAGATGTAGCTCTAAACCAGAGATGGGCAACTTAATTTCAAAGGGCACCTTTCAGAGATCATGTAGGTCTCTTGCCCTTTTGGGGGGGGGGGAGGGAAGAGTGAGAATATGTTCCAAAACACACACACACACACACACACACACACACACACAGGAAAAGAATGTGCTTTTTCTGCCAACTTTTGGCTACGGCTCAACTTTCTCCTTGCCTCAGTCCTATCTAAGATGGGAACCCGTGAGATTGCAGAAGAAAAGTTGCCGCTTCTGTACAATGTGTTTTACACCCAACTGTTTTGGGGAAGCAACCTTTCTCACTGGCTGGAAAGGAAAACGCAATACGAAGACGTTGCCGGGCATCGATCTGATTCCAAAGGAAACGCTGAACGGAATATAAAAGGCAAAATCCACCTCCAAAATGTCAAACGCTTAAAAAATGAGCATAAATGGAAAGGCAGCATGGTCTAGTGGTTAAAGCAGCAGGCTAGGAACCAGGAGACGGTGAGTTCTAGCCCCACTTTAGGCATGAAAGCCAGCTGGGTGACTTTGGGCCAATCACCAGGAGATGGTGAGTTCTAGTCCCGCCTTAGGCCTGAAAGCCAGCTGGATAACTCTGGGCCAATCACCAGGAGACTGGGAGTTCTAGTGCCTGGCTGAGGAACTCTGGGAGTTGAAGTCCACAAGTCATCAAAGGGCCAAGTTGGAAGACCCCTGGGCTAGTTTATACTATTATGGAAAAGTAAAAAGTTGATGCTTCAAGGTTAAGGCTTCATTCTACTGCAGTGTTTCTCAACCTTGACAATTTTAAGGCATGTGGACTTCAACTCCCAGAATTCCACAGCCAGCATTGCTGGCTGTGGAATTCTGGGAGTTGAAGTCCACATGCCTTAAAATTGTCAAGGCTGAGAAACACTGTTCTACTGCAACAGAGAGAGCCAGAAGTCAATGCCTTTTCTTTCCCTTTCTCTTCCCCACTGTATCCTATTATTTGCTTTTCTACTTTTGTATTTTATTCTACAATCTAATATATATATATATTTAAAGAATGCTGGAGGCCCTTTAAGCAATGCATTGACCTCACCGCTGGTATAATAGGAAGCCAGAGGATTGAAAATGTAGCCCGGGTCTTAAATTAGATACTATTAACATGCTCAGCTATTTTCTTCTCGTGACACTGCTGTAGTAGGTTTTATTTCCCTACGATGACCTCCAGCAGAGTGTTCCCTTGGAGATTTATTAATAACAGAAAAGAGAGAAAAAGGAGCTGGCTTGACAGAGAGGGGAATTTAAAATGCCACGTTAACCACGTGAAAGAGATTCCAGTTAGCAAATGGATGTTAAATTGAGAACTTCCTGTTAAGTTGTTACGTGGAGGAAGTCCTCAACTTACGAGCCCAGAATTTCTGCTGCTAAGCGAGACAGTCGTTAAAACGTGTTTCGGCCCATTTTACGACCGGCCTTGCCACAGCTGTTCCGTGAACCCCTGCAATTGTTAAATGAGTCACCCGGTTGTTAAGTGAATCTGGCTTCCCCCCCCCCATTGACTCCGCTTGTCGGAAGGTCGCAAAACGGGACCCCCGTGGGACATTGTGACCGTCATAAATGTGAGCCAGTTGCCAAGCATCTGAACTTTGAACACATGACCTGTGGGGGATGCCGCAAAGGTCGTTAAGCGTGAAAAATGGTCAAAAGTCACTTTGTTCAGGGCCGTTGCAATTCCAAATGGTCACTAAATGAGTCGAGGACAACCTGTATAGAGAAAATCCCAACTTCTGCTCCACGCTTAAAAAGGACCAAGGCTGCTTTATGGGGAGATAACAATTAGGTGGAATAATTAATATTGGATTCCACGAGATAGAGGTAGGACAATTAACCAGTGGAACAGCTTGCCACCAGAAATCGGGGGCGCTCCATCACTGGAGGTTTTTAAGAAGAGACCGGACAGCCATTTGTCTGAAAGAGTATAGGGCAGTAATTCTCAACCTGTGGGTCGGGACCCCATTTGGGGTCAAACGACCATTTCACGGGGGTCGCCAAACAACGCAGTCCGCCATTTTTTCCCCCTTTTCCTTAGCTGTGCTACTCCCCTTTATTCTCTTGGCTTTTGAAAGCCAATAAAATAGACTCTCTTGAATAGAGTCTAATTCTATTGGCTTTCAAAAGCCAATAGGAATTGTCCAGGCTGTCTCTGCCCTGCTGAGCCCGCCAAAAGTCCCATTCTGCAAACGGTGCTGCACCGGTTGAGTAGTCCTCGACTTACGACCGGTTGAGTAGTCCTCGACTTACGACCGGTTGGGGGGTCGCGGCATTAAAAAGGTTGAGAACCACTGGACTAGATGACCTCCAAGGTCCCTTCCAGCTCTATTCTGATTGTGATGCTGGATTCCACTTTAATAGGAAGTGATATTTTCTCCTTACTCGGAGCAGAGACGAAATTAGGGAGTCCTTGGTGCTCTCTGAGGTCAGAGACGAAATTTTCCAGCATCCATCGGATGGTCAACCGATGGTGCAGAGTCTCCCTCCCCCTTACTTCTTGGGCCAAAATCTGAGACACGTCTGGAACCTCCGTGCTCATTCCAGAGGGGTGACTCAGAAAGTGGGAATGGCTCAGGATATCAAATGCCAGATGGTGGTATTTAAGAACGAGCTTAGCTGTTTGCCCCTTGTAAGGTCTTGGGAAAAGGAGTTGAGGCTGGCTGGGCTTTTAAAGGCAGGCTGACAATTACTACACAGGTAATCCTCCACTGAGCCCAAACTTTCCGTTGTTAAGGGAGACATCTGTCACGTGAGTTTTGCCCCATTTTACGACCTCCCTTGCCACAGTTCTTGAGTGAATCGCTGCAGTTGGTCAATTAGTAACACAGCTGTTAAGTAAATCCAACTTTCCCCATGGATTTTGCTGCCCCCAAAAGAGGTCACGTGACTTTGGGACACAGCAACGGTCGTAAGTATGAAGCTTCTGAATTTTGATCACGTGACCCTGGGGATGCTGCAACGGTCGTTAAGTGTGAAACACGGTCGTTAAGTCACTCTCTTTCTGTGATCTTGTAACTTTGAACCGTTACTAAATGAACCGCGGTTCAGTCGAAGTCAGAATCCCCAGCCCTCTTTGGTTCATTACGTCAAAAGCAGATTTGGTTTTGTGTTTTATACCTCACAAGTTTTCTGCTAACTCTGAAAATTCGCCATCAGCTTCAGCTGCCTGCTGCTTTCTCTGAAACATCATTGGCCCTTTTGATGCAAAATGAGACAGAAGGCGAAAAACTTACCTTCAGGACATCAGTGGGGTTAGCAATGGAAGATGAGATGACCCCAGACAGGACCCCACAGAATACACTGACAGCCAACGTTTCATCTGTTTCAGGAGGAAAAAAAATATATCGTCACACTCAAAATTCATCTTTGGAGGTCCAAACCAGCTCTGATGAGAGGATCTTGGCGACGTTTCGAAGAGGTCCCACTCGTTATCTTCAGGCTGGGATCTTTGGCTTCGTGCTTGTGCAAGCAAAGTGTGATCGGAGCTGCCATCTCTCTATATATATATTGGTGGGGGTATGTGGAGTGCTGGCTTAGTTGCTGTAGGTGGATTGGTTGGCTGTGTAGGAGTTATTGTTTGTGGATTGTTTGGCTGAAACAGCCAAACAATCCACAAACAATAACTCCTACACAGCCAACCCCAGCCTGAAGATGACGAGTGGGACCTCGTCGAAACGTCGCCAAGATACTCTCAATCTTACGTGGGAAAAGACCCGAATACACCAAGACATGCATACCTATACTTGTGAAAATCTATGAAAACACACATATGTATGTATGTATGTATGTATGTATGTATGTATTATATGTTTTCTGAGGTTTTCGCGGGTGTTTGTATGTAGTTCTTTGGTTATTCGGGTTTTCTCCCGCATAAAATTGGAAGTGTCTTGGCAACACTTCTACAAACTCCCATTCATCATCTTCAGGCTGGTGTTTTCAGCTTCGTGCTTCTACACATTGCTCCTAGAAGCACAAAGCTGAAAACACCAGCCTGAAGATGACGAATGGGACTTCATCGAAACGTCGGCAAGACACTTCCAATTTTACGCGGGAGAAAACCCACATAGCCAAAGACCTATATATGTATGTATGTATGTATGTATGTATGTATTTTATTGGATTTTATAGGGATGGGGAGGGAATGAAATAGATAGGGATATAACATAGGGTAAAGAACAAGGATTAAACCAAAGATAGGGATAGGTACAATAGCGGGGTTAACCCCAACAATAAATTGACTCTTTAGCAAGCAGACTACCATCTGGGTGTACATGTTAAATGTCCGTAGTTAATAAATAGTTTTATCACTAATAAGAATGAGAAATTAACCAATACATATCATTCTTTCTACGAATAACAATAATTAATGTACTATTAATAATATATTACTAATTGAATATAATTACTTATAAATACTGATATACTGCTTATTAATTATAATTACTTATAGGTAAAATCGGAAATATAAGAGTATTCACAGCAATCAGATAACATAAAAGTTGAATAAAAAGTATCATTTACCCTATTTCATTTCATAACCTTTTCTCATTCTCTCGTGTTGCTAACCATTGATAGAATTTTTCCCATGTTTTAAAATAAATTGTGTCTTCTTTCGCTTTGATTTCTAAAGTTAGTCTATCCATTTCTGCACATTCCAATGTTTTTGTAATAATAAGGTGGTCAGGAGGTAGCTTTTCATTTTTTCAAAACTGGGCAAATACTATTCTCGCAGCTGTTAACACATGCAATATTAGGTATTCATTCTCTTTTCCATAATTAGATCCTAGTATTCGTAGTAGAAACAGTTCGGGTTTAAATTCTATCAGTTTTCTTGGCGACATTTTTTGAAGTGTCTTAGTACAGCTGACCCCTGCATCAAAACTCTCCTAGCTCCCTTCGCCCTCTGCTCTAACCAGTCTTTGCTCTAAGAGAGGGGTTCTCAACCTTGGCAACTTTAAGACGTGTGGACTTCAACTCCCAGAATTCCTCAGCCAGCTTTCTTTAAGACGTGTGGACTTCAATTCCCAGAATTCCTCAGCCAGCAAAGCTGGCTGAGGAATTCTGGGAGTTGAAGTCCACACGTCTTAAAGTTGCCAAGGTTGAGAACCCCTGCTCTAAGAAATGCAGCTCAAATAATCTGGGAGAAAAATATCTCCTTTACCTTCTGGTCGTTCGATAAATATTCTTTTCAAGCTCTGGTAAGTGCCTATTTTGATGGTTCCGTAAGAAGCCTGGCGTAACATAGCCGGGGCGATGCTGCAAGAAGGGGGAAAAAAATGGGCATAAAATCAGGGGTCTGGCTGTCCTGCAGTCTTCTAAGCAGATAATACGCAGGTGAGCAATCCCAAAGGTGTGTTTTTTTTTCAGGAGGCAACTGGACTTTCTTGTTTTTCTTTGAAGACGTCTCGCTTCTTCTCCAAGAAGCTTCTTCAGCTCTACAAAGCTACCGAGCTGAAGAAGCTTCTTGGAAGAGAAAAGGAACATTTTCAAAGAGAAAAAAGAAGGTCCAGTTGCCTCCTGGAAAAGCACCTTTGGGAGAAACATGATCTGGATGATGGAGAATCTGCAGAGGCATTGAGGGGAGGAAGTTACGACCAGCTTGGTTTCAGCAAAAGTGCTCAGGGTCTCCAAGGATGGTTGACCACCTGCACAAATAAACTGAGACTTATATTTGTTTATTTGGTACCCTTGATATCATCTTGGTCATTGTTTGGACTAGGACAGGGGTAGGCAACCTTGGCTCTTTTATGACTGGTGGACTTCAACTCCCAGAATTCCTGAGCCAGCATGAGGGAACTATGGCCCCCTTTAGGACTTGTGGACTTCAACTCCCATAATTCCTTAGCCAGCATGGCTCAACTTGGAAACATCTTCTTTTCCCCTCAGTATGGCTGGCTCAGGAATTCTGGGAGTTGAAGTCCACCAGTCATAAAAGAGCCAAGGTTGCCTACCCCTGTCCTACATCCTCCTGTTCTAAGCGGTGTCCTACCCCTGTCCACAAGTCACAAAAGAGCCAAGGTTGCCTACCCCTGGTCCTACATCCTCCTGTTCTACCCCTCCTAGTCCAGGGGTAGGCAACCTTGGCTCTTTTGTAACTTGTGGACTTCAACTCCCAGAATTCCTGAGCCAGCATGGGGGGACTATGGCCCCTTCAAGACTGGTGGAGTTCAACTCCCAGAATTCCTGAGCCAGCCTGGCTCAGCTTGGAAGCCTCTCCCTTTCCCCTCAGCATGGCTGGCTCAGGACTTCTGGGAGTTGAAGTCCACCAGTCATAAAAGAGCCAAGGTTTCTCGGCAAGGTTTTTCCAAAATGATGTGTCCTTCTCCTCCTTTTCTTCTGCAAGGTAATAATTGACCCCAAGTCACCCAGTTGATTTCATGTCTAAGGCAAGACTAGAACTCAGTCTCCTGATTTCTTGTATGGGTCTTCAGCACTACACCAAACTGGCTCCCTTCTATCCATTACTACTGGTTGAATTAGCTATTGCTGGAAAAAAGTTCTCAGCTAGGAACATGGACTTCTATCAACTTAGACGAAAGTTTGACTCCCAGGGGAAGTTATGAAGAATCTATAAATGCAGAAATCTCCAGCAGTTGTGTGCAAAGCAGGAGAGAAGGGAACGCACTTTTTCCAAAAGATTTTATTTCAGAACTTTGGGCTTAGATGTTCAGGAGGAAAAAAAAACAGAGAATACCAAGCTTTTTAAAGAATTGTTCAGGACATTCCTAACCAATCTGATTGGGATTGTATTGCATGTGTATGTGTGTTCGTGTAAAAGCACACAACAGGGGGAAAAGATTTAGAACAGCCCAAACTATAAAAGCAGTGGTCGCACCTAAAAAGGTGCACAATTTTGTTTACAATCCAGCAGCTTTTTTTCCTCAAGAGGTTAATGCAAATTAGCCCATCCAGAAAATAAGCTAGGATGTGACTCAGAATTAGGTCCAAACATTAGGCCTAAGATAATCTAAAACCCCAGTTTGGGATACTGGTTAAGGCATCACACTGGAAACCAGGAGCCAGTCGTTTTCTCTCAGCCCTAAGAAGGAAGCAATGGCAAACCACTTCTCTTGCCAAGAAACTTGCAAAGATTTGTCTAGGGCAGTGGTTCTCAACCTTTTTAATGCCGCGACCCTCCAAACGGTCGTAAGTCGAGGACTACTCAATCAGTCGTAAGTCGAGGACTACTTAACAGGTGCAGCACCGTTTGCAGAATGGGACTTTTGGCGGGCTCAGCAGGGCAGAGACAGCCTGGACAATTCCTATTGGCTTTGGAAAGCCAATAGAATTAGACTCTATTCAAGAGAGTCTATTCGATTGGCTTTCAAAAGCCAATAGAACAGTGTTTCTCAACCTTGACCATTTTAAGGCATGTGGACTTCAACTCCCAGAATTCCACAGCCAGCATTGCTGGCTGTGGAATTCTGGGAGTTGAAGTCCACATGCCTTAAAATGGTCAGGGTTGAGAAACACTGCAATAGAATAAAAGGGAGGAGCACAGCTAAGGAAAAGGGGGAAAAAATGGCGGACTGCGTTGTTTGGCGACCCCCGTGAAATAGTCGTTCGACCCCAAAAGGGGTCCCAACCCACAGGTTGAGGACCACTGGTCTAGATAGTCTCCGAAAACTGGATACGATTCAATAGACAAGAATCGTATATATAGCATGTTACACACAAGTCTGTCACCCAACTATTTAACTACAAAGAAACACATTTGCACATTTCAACAACCCACAGAACAGTCAAGATTAGAAATCTTACCCAGAGTATAAGGCCTTCAATCCTTCTTCCCTGAATATTTTCACTAAAGCGTGAACCATCCCACGATAACGAATTTCTTTATGCTTCACATCATTTTTTTGACCTTGTACCTGCAGGCGCGTTTTTGTCAGATCAATTGGGAAAGTACCTACGCGCCCAAGAAAAAAACTGATCAGTTCGTGAATTATAAATTTACAGAAACATATACATTCCAGAATGAAGCAAACTTAAGTTTCCAACATAAAATTGGGCAGAATATACATTCTTGTGTTTCTGCGTGTGTCTGTTTGTGCGTGGTGCACAAGGGGGCCTTAAATTTTTAAAAACAGCTAATTTCATTAAAAATAACTATATACCTTTTTTTTAATCAAACCTTTCAACTTATCTATAACAATTCATATTTTAATCTGCTGGTCCACATTCTGCTGTCTATCTATTAGAATATCTGAATATTATTACTGTATACATGCCACAGTTTCGTTCAAAGCACTACAAATAATTAAAGTGTGAAATAAAAAAAAACCTCTTAGCAACACAATAACAGTACAAGTTAAGATAATAACTCAAATGCTGTTGAATGAAAAATAGGAGCCACAATTGCATTCCACAGGCTGGGAGCAAGCTTCAGATAATAGTAAAGTACATTCCTAGCAAGGCACAATAATATTTCTGACTGCTTTTGCAAACATCTAGTTATGCTGGAGATGTAATAAATTTTGTTTTTGCACTAAAGTATTAATTTCCTGCTTTTTTAAAAAAACAAAACTGGATACTTCTTCACTTTTTCCTTCCCCCAGTTTATACTGTATCAAAATTCAGTCACAATGTAGATTTATTTCGAGAGAAACATAGTTTTAAAGAAGTAAAAATTCCCTTTTCTCAAAAAAGCAAAACAAAGCAAAGCAAAGAAGTCTTCCTTTTTAAATTCCTTTTTTAAAATTCAAAATGTATCGCTTGGCTGTTTCAAGCAGGCCTCAAGAGTCAAATTCCTGGTATTAAAAAGGAAGGAAGTGCATTTACAAGTAGGCCCCTGAATGGAAGTAGTTAATTCACCCTGATCAAGTTATACTTCTATTTTAAGGTGGCCATCGCTTTGCAATGTAAAATGCCTATAATTTTAAAATAAGATTTATCTCCAGGAAACCTTAATAATAAGACCACGTTTCATTTACCCATCTAAGTAATTTTATCCATGGTTTGCAAGCAAAACACCAGCTTCTCTTCAAGACTGAGTTACAGCTATTGGATATTTTGCTCATTCCAAAACAGAAATGAAAACCTGTTGCTTTTTTGTTAAAAAAAAAAAATAGGGACACGGGCACAAGGCAGGCGGTCCTCCACTTACAACCCAGTTCATTTCGTGACCGTTCAGATTTACAACATCACTGAAAATGGTGACTTGCGTCTGTTTTTCTCACACACGGACAACCGTTGTAGCCTCTGGGTGGCCACGTGATCAAAATTCAGACGCTTGGCAACTGACTCACACTTACGACGGTCGCAGGTCCTGGGGGGAGGGGCAGGGGATCCCCTTTTGTGACCTTCCGACAAGCCAAGTCAACGGGGAAGCCCGATTCACTTAACAACCGGGTCACTAACTTATCAACTGCAATGAACAAGTGTGGTGAGAAAAGAGTCGTAAAATGAGGGGAAACCCACTTAACAAATGTTTCATTTAGCCACAGAATTTTTCGGCTCGCTTGTGGTCGTAAGCTGAGGACTACTTGAAATATTTTTTTTAAAAAAAATGAACAGGTGGCAACAGCATTAAATTGGGTTATGGCCCCTCTCTGTAAGACTCCAGGCTCTGCCACGCTTCGTTAGAGATCTTGCAAAGACTTTAGTGCCAAGGCACGTTGGGCTGCACGGGTCATTTGCAAGTTAATTAAGCAACTACGCCGGGCAGTTTTTTAAATGAGCAGCAAATCCTTCACCCGATTATTTCAGGGTTCAGATACCCACCACATTCCGCGGTGATGGAAGCCAGACCTCCGTACACAAACGGCTTCCAGTTCAAAGCTGCCATACTCCTGCGTGTCTCTTCCCTCTGCAAGGCAACAAAGCAACACACCTAGGACTCAGGAGACATTTCCTGACAGTGAGAACAATTAACCAGTGGAACAGCCTGCCTCCAGAAGTTGTGGGTGCTCCAGCACTGGAGGTTTTTAAGAAGGGAATGGACAACCATTTGTCTGAAATGGCACAGGATTTCCTGCCTGAGCAGGGGATTGGACTAGATGACCTCCAAGGTCCCTTCCAAATCTGATATTCTATTCTGTTCTGCTCTGTTCCCCATTCCATTCCGTTCTGTTCTAATTCTACAGTATTGTGTTGTGTTCTATTCTTTCTATTCTATTCTAATTCTACAGTATTGTGTTCTATTCTATTCTTATTCTACAGTATTGTGTTGTGTTCTATTCTAATTCAACAGTATTGTGTTGTGTTCTATTTTAATTCTACAGTATTATATTGTGTTCTATTCTAGTCTAATTCTACAGTATTGTGTTGTGTTGTGTTCTAGTCTAATTCTACAGTATTGTGTTGTGTTGTGTTCTACTCTAATTCTACAGTATTGTGTTGTGTTCTAGTCGTTTCTGTTCTATGTTATTCTATAGTATTGTGATGTATTCTATTTTATTCTGTATTTTATTCCATTCCATTCCATTCCATTATTCTATTCTATTCTATTCTATTCTATTCTATTTTCCAGTATCTATTCTATTCTATTCTATTCTATTCTATTCTATTCTATTCTATTCTATTCTATTCTATTCTATTCTATTCTATTCTATTCTATTCTGTATTTCTCTTCTCTTCTCTTCCATTCTTAAACACATCTTCCTGATAGGGCAGGGATGGGCCCAGGTACAGCCCTCCACCCCCAGCCCCTTTGAACACGCCCAAAGTAGGTGGTAATCCTCCACTTACTATAGTTCCTTTAGTGACCATTCAAAATGACCACTGCACTGGAAAAGAGAGAGTTGTGACCATTTTTCACACTTACAACCGTTGCATCATCCCCACGGTCACGTGATCAAAATTCAGAGGCTTGGCAACTGGCATGTACTTATGACGGTTGCAGAATCCCCGGGGGGGGAGGTCACGTGATCCCCTTTTGCAGCCTTCGGACGAGCAAAGTCCACGGGGGAGCCAGATTCATTTAAGAACCGTGTTACTGACTTAACAACTGACGCAATTTACTTAACAACCGTGGCCAGGGCGGTCATAAAATGGGGCAAAGCTTATTTAACAAATGTCTCGCTCAACGACAAGAAATTTTGAGCTCAGTTGTGGTTGAAGTCTACTATACTTCTCTGACATTCAGCAGCAAAAAGGCTGAATTTGAGAAGGCTGTTTTTTTTTCCATCGTTTTCGCCCCAAAGGTGGGAAAAATCCAGGTGTTTTATTTAAAACTTCACCAAGGCTTGACAGATTTCTGCTACCTCTGGAAAACTCTCAGCTCAGCCGGTGGTGGCAACTGGTTGGCCTTGACTGGGCCTCAGAGAAAAACATAAATCAGGCCAGGTTAGCAGCAGGCTGGGAGACCACTAAGGGATCAGCTAAACTGGGAAGTTAGTGGGGATCTGATGAAGGGGATAATAGCCAGCAACTTAAATAACAGAATAACAGAGTTGAAAAGGACCTCAAGAGATCTTCTAGTCCAACCCCCTGCTCAAACAGAAGACCAGGTACCATTTCACACAACTTCAGTGCTGCGGGCAGAAAAACATCGCAAAGTCCTGAAATGGCCTGGCTACAAGGACATTTTCCCGAACCCCCAAAATGTGAATAAAACGGGAAACGTGAACCAGAAAAATGGCTCCCTCCGACAATAACATTTCAATGCATTTTTTCCGATTCTAAAACTTAACTGCCGAGTAATTTTGTTTAGGCTTTACAAAAAAACCAAAACTGAAATTGAATTACCAGTTTTCTTTCTTTTTACCCCTTTCTTTCTTTCTCCTGCAAATGTTATGACTGCTGACCGTGAAAACAATTAAATCGGTGGAACAGCTTGCCCTCCAGAAGCTGTGAGTGCTCCAACACTGGAGGTTTTCAAGAAGAGACCGGCCAGCTGTTTGTCTGAAATACTATAGGGCAGGGGTAGGCAACCTTGGCTCTTTTATGACTCATGGACTTCAACTCCCAGAATTCCTGAGCCAGCATGGGGGAACCATGGCCCTTTCATGACTGGCAGACTTCAACTCCCAGAATTCCTGAGCCAGCATGGGGGAACCATGGCCCCTTCATGACTGGCGGACTTCAACTCCCAGAATTCCTCAGCCAGCATGGGGGAACTATGGCCCCCTTCATGACTCGTGGACTTCAACTCCCAGAATTCCTGAGCCAGCATGGGGGAACTTTGGCTCCTTCATGACTCGTGGACTTCAACTCCCAGAATTCCTGAGCCAGCATGGGGGAACCATGGCCCTTTCAAGACTGGCAGACTTCAACTCCCAGAATTCCTGAGCCAGCATGGGGGAACCATGGCCCCTTCATGACTGGCGGACTTCAACTCCCAGAATTCCTCAGCCAGCATGGGGGAACTATGGCCCCCTTCATGACTCGTGGACTTCAACTCCCAGAATTCCTGAGCCAGCATGGGGGAACTTTGGCTCCTTCATGACTCGTGGACTTCAACTCCCAGAATTCCTGAGCCAGCATGGGGGAACCATGGCCCTTTCATGACTGGCAGACTTCAACTCCCAGAATTCCTGAGCCAGCATGGGGGAACCATGGCCCCTTCATGACTGGCGGACTTCAACTCCCAGAATTCCTCAGCCAGCATGGGGGAACTATGGCCCCCTTCATGACTCGTGGACTTCAACTCCCAGAATTCCTGAGCCAGCATGGGGGAACTTTGGCTCCTTCATGACTGGCGGACTTCAACTCCCAGAATTCCTGAACCAGCATGGGGGAACCATGGCCCCTTCATGATTTGAGGACTTCAATTCCCAGAATTCCTGAGCCAGCATGGGGGAACCATGGCCCCTTCATGACTGGTGGACTTCAACTCTCAGAATTCCTGAGCCAGCCTGGCTCAGCTTGGAAACCTCTCCCTTTCTCCTCAGCGTGGCTGGCTCAGGAATTCTGGGAGTTGAAGTCCACCAGCCATAAAAGAGCCAAGGTTGCCTACTCCTGGTATAGGATCTCCAGCCTGAGCAGGGGGTTGGACTAGAAGACCTCCAGGTTCCCTCCCAACTCTGTTATTCCGTATTCTATTTTGTATGCTGCGTTCTCTTTTGCTGTTGCTGTTCCTAAAGAAAAAGAAAAGAAAAAAGGCCCTGTCCTGGGAAACGTTTCCGGGGTCACACCCCTTTGAGAACAACCAGCAGCGAAAAGATTAGGTTAGCTCGTTTCAAAACCAGTGTGTGACCTTTAGCCTTCCTCCTGACAGCTTTTGATCACGCAGTGCCTGGCCCGGCTCTCTCCGAAATATTTCTCCTGATCCTCACCTCTTGCAGCCCCCTGTGCACTCCACCCCTTTCCCATTGCTGCAACTTTCTCTTCCAGCCCCCATTTGCAAAACCCAGGTCAAGAACTAACCCAGCCCCCAGGCGTTTGCATTTATGATCGTGGGATCACGTGCAACTAGTTGGGGGGGGGGGGTTTACACAACACACACAGTGCAAACCAAACAAACCACATTCCCCCTTATTCCCAGCCCTGCCTTATTTTCGTATCAGCCACCCAATCTCAGCTAATGCCACTAGCTTCTGTTCATTAAAAGACAGAAAAACTCTCCATGAGTCAATTTTAATCTTTATATGAGATCAGACTAGGCTCACGGTTAAAGTGACCCCACATCCTTTATTTTAAAGGACACTCCTTTATTTAAAAAAAAAAAAAAAACATTTGTCCTTTAGCTGTAGTTCTTTTTTTTTCAAAAACTTATCTTTGTTCTTTATTTTGGTCATTTTTTTTTTCAATTTATTACAGCCAAAGCCAAAGGCCACACATAAATCAAATATTTTTGGGGGTCATTTAACTTTTTAAAGCACCAATGGCACCACTTAAGGCACAGTGTTGTTTTTTTTTTCTTCACATTCCTGGGAAAAATATGGAAATGGAATTATCATTTTTAACGTAAGCTTACATATACTCTTGGAGTTTAGATATTTGTATCAGGATGTGCACTTTTTCTTGGTTTTCCTCTTTAATTTTCTTTTTTAAAACCAAGTTCTAAATACCAGCATTATTTTTTTTTAACCTTGTAGAATCTCTTTTCAGATTTGTCCTTTAATTCCCCCCCCCCCCCCAAGAAAATACAGCTGGTGTCTTTAAGAACACTTCTTCTGGAATATAAAATGCCTCTATGATTATATTGATGGTCTTCAATTCATGCCTAATGTTTTTTTCCAGAATATTTCATGGACCCGTCTATTTTTATCCAACTATGCCTGCCATCTGACAATGAGCTTAACCATATCAGTAAAAGACTTAAAGGCATCAAACCGTAAACGCTGTTAGGGTTAAGCTTGGTTTAGTTCTTTAGAGGCTTAGCCAGTTTGGTTACTTTATTGGTTCAGAGTACTCTGTGAACTTCTTATAAAATAAACCAAATATTCTTGGCATACCGCAAAAGACATTTAAGCACAAATCAAAAGCAAACTTTGTTAAGTTAGACTGAATTTCTGGTGAATAGCACAATCCCAGAAGCCTCCAGAAGCTGTGAACACTGGAAGTTTTTAAGAAGAGACTGGACAGCCATTTGTTTGAAATGGTACTATAGGGTTTCCTGCCTGAGCAGGGGGTTGGACTAGATGACCTCCAAGGTCCCTTCTGAGTCCGTTATTCTGTTATACTTTTTTTCCTTCCTTCCTTCCTTCCTCCCTCCCTCCTTCCTTCTTTCCCTCACTCCCTCCCTTTTCCAACACTGGAAGTTTTTAAGAAGAGACTGGACAGCCATTTGTTTGAAATGGTACTATAGGGTTTCCTGCCTGAGCAGGGGGTTGGACTAGATGACCTCCAAGGTCCCTTCTGAGTCTGTTATTCTGTTATACTTTCCTTCCTTCCTTCCTTCCTTCCTTCCTTCCTTCCTTCCTTCGTCCCTCCCTTTCTTCCTTCCTTTCTTCCTTCTTTCCCTCCCTCCCTTCTCCAACACTGGAAGTTTTTAAGAAGAGACTGGACAGCCATTTGTCTGAAATGGTACTACAGGGTTTCCTGCCTCAGCAGGGGGTTGGGCTAGAAGACCTCCAAGGTCCCTTTCCCAAGATTTAAGCTGTTAAAGGAAACATTTGTCCCGTGGGTTCTGCCCCCTTTAAGGATTTTTCTTGCCACAATTCTCAAGTGAACCACTCCCCGCTCCCTTAAGTTAGGAACACCACGTTAAGCGACTCCGACTTCCTCGCAGGGCGAAGGTCACAAAAAGAGGATCGCAGCCCGGGGGGGGGGGACACCGCAACCGTCCTAAAGTCCACGCCAGTTGCCAAGCCTCTGAATTTTGTGACTGTAGTCACAAATATGAAGAAAAGGCTCCTAAGTCCCTTTTTTTTCCACCCCCAGCTCAGTCACTAACGACTAACTGAACGGACGGGAAGCCGGGGACAGTTGCGGAGGGCGCTTTGGCGCTTCCCCGGGGTTTCCTCGTGGTCTCCCATCCTCCCCAGCTCACCTTTTTCCCCCAGCCACCGCCAAGAGCCAGGTGTAGCTCAGCATACGGTGTCACCTCCGCTCGCCTCCCCGGTCCGGGCTTCTGCCGGCCAAGGCGGAGACCGGGCGGGCGGGCGAGGCGGCTTTCCTCCCGGCAGGCGGCTCCCGAGTGCGCCGGGGAGGCGGCGAGGCCGGGAGCCAGCCGGGTCGGCGGGGAAGGGCCGGAAAGGGACGCGCCCTCCGCTAGGCAGGCAGGCAGGCAGGTGGGGCAGGTTTTGCAAGCGGGCGCCCGCGGGCGCCGCTCTCCCTCCCCGGCGGGGGCTTGGCAAAAGGCTCCCCTCCGCCCGCCCCCAGCCTCAAGGCGCAGCGCCCCCCCCCCCGCCCCGCAGAAGCGGCCCCGGGAGCCCGAGCGGGCAGCGCCCAGGAGAGGGGAAGGCCAGCCGGGAAGGCTTGGGAGCGGGGTCCCGGCCCCTGCAGAGCCGCCTGTACCTTGCCTCCCGGAGGCGGAGGAGCCGGCGCGGGGCCTCGCCTTGGCTGGCAGTCACGCGGCGGCAGCTGAAAGAGTCCGGAGGGAAAGAAAGGAGGGAGGGAGGGAGGGTGTGTGTGTGTGAGAGAGAGAGAGAGAGAGAGAGAGGAAAAGAGAAAGAGGAAGAAAGGAGACAGAAAGAGAAAGAGACAAAGAGAAAGAAAAAGGGAAAGGAAAAAAAAAGACACAGAGACGGAAAGAGAAAGAAGAAAGAGAAAAAAGAGGCAGAGAAAGAAAAAGAGAAAGAAAAAAGATGAAGAAACAGAGACAGAAAGAGAAAAGAGAAAAAGAGTCCGAGAAAGAAAAAGACAAAAAGAGAACGAAAAAAGGTATAGACAGAAAGAGAAAAGAGAGAAAAAGAGACAGAAACAAAAAGACAAAGAGAAAGTAAAAGAGAAAGAAAAAAGATGAAGAGAGACAGAAAGAAAAAAGAGAAAAAGAGGCAGAGAAAGAAAAAGAGAAACTAAGAGAACAAAAAAGAGATAGACAGAAAAAGAAAGAGAAAAGAAAGACAAAGACAAAGAAAAACTAAAAGAAAGAAAAGAGAAAGAGAAATTGACAAAGGAACAAAAAAGAGAGAGAGAGAGAGAGATAGACAGACAGAGAAAGAAAAGGAGAAAGAGAGGGAGAGAAACTGGGAATCTCCAGTGGCGCTGAAGTAACACAGTTTGTTTTTCCAATGTTGTCCTTACCTCCCAAAGTTCCTCCTATCCAATCATGATGATATTTTTGGAGAGCCTGTAAAAATCCAGCTTTTCTGGGAAAGATCAGTCAGATGAGGTTACCCCTGCAAATTAAATGCATAATTATATATATCAGCACTGTAAGCTACTCAAAGTCTGCATGATTTCTCCAGATTGTTCCCGATCAGTTGTCAAAGCAGGCTTAAAATATGTTTACTACCACATAGTTCCAAGATTTTCAGAGGACACTTGAGAGAGAGAGAGAAAGAGAGAGGGGGGGGGAAGAGAAAGAGAAAGAAAGGGAGAGAGAAGAGAAAGAGAGAAGAGACAAAGAAAAAGAGAGAAAGAGAAAGAAAGAGAGGGAGAGAGAAGAGAAAGAGACAGAAAAGAGAGAGAAAGTGAGAGAAAGAAAGAGACAGAGAGAGAGAGACGGAAAACCTTTGAATGAAACTGAAGCCTAAAGTTTGGTTTTAAACAAGAATCTTTCTTTCAACTTTGTTCATTCTTAGGCAGTTTTTTCCAAGATACAATTTCACATTGGAGATCAAGTTGGATCAAACAATTATTTTAAATTTGTATCTATTTCTTTACCATCTCTGCAAATAAATACAAATAGTCCTTGAACTTCCAGCCATTTGTTTAGTCACTGTTTGAAGTTACAACATCACTGAAAAAAAGTGATTTAGGACCATTTTTCACACTTAACTACTGTTGCAAAATCCCTGTGATTGCATGGTCAAAATTCAGATGCTTGGTAAGCGACTCACATTTATGACCGTCACAGTGATCCCCTTTTGCAACCTTCCGACAAGCAAAGCAGATCCACTTAACGGCTGTATGACTAACTTCACGACTGGGGCGATTCGCTTAACAACCGTGGCCGGGGAAGTCGTAACGACCGCTTTGCTTAGCAATAATTTTGAGCTCGGTTGTGGCCGTAAGTCGAGGACTACCTGAATTTGCCTCTATATTGGCCACCTTGAAAGATTTCAGGGCCGTTGCATGCAATGAATATTTTATAATTCAATTTAAAACTCTCTGCAGCATGGCCAGATTTAAAAAGAAAAAAAACAAAACTAATAATTATGCAAATGTATAGAATTTGCAGTCCACAATACAAGATCCTTAAGGGTCCAAGGGAATCCAAGGGAATCTCTTTTCCAACACAGATAACACCCTCCTAATTTGGGGGGGGGGGGGACTACATAAACAATTCCAGAGGATGGGCTTCCGTTCCCTTGGGAGTTTGCTCTCCCCTGGGCTCAAATCTTCACAAACGAACCCGGAAGTTGCTCATTCCCCCCCTCCTCCTGCGCTGGGGCGAGTCTACCTTCTTGCTTCTAGGTCCCGGGAAAGAGGTCGGCGACGGCGGAGGGCGTGCTGACGTCACAGTTTCGTGCGTCATGAGGAGCGCGGCGATTGGCGACGCACGGATGGCAGGGACGTGCCCTGCTGGCTATATGAGCTCCGCGGAGGCGCCTCCTCGGCCTTTTTCCGCCTCGTTCTTCGCTCGCGCCGGGGGCTGCCGCCACTAGCGCTCTTCCACCCGACACCGCCGGCCCGCCGCCGCCGCCGCCCGCCCGCCGCCTCAGCCATGATCATCTACCGCGACTGCATCAGCCGTGAGCCGAAACCCCCCGCCGCTTTTTTTCCGCCCCTCTGAATCTTACGGGGAGGGGGGAAGGAGGGATCGAGTGCGCCTGCGCGGCCTGGCATTCCAGGCCGGGGAGCGCGCGCCGGACTCACCCCGAACTGCGCCTGCGCTCTTTCGCCCGGCTTGTGCCTGGAAAAGGGAAGGGGAAAAAAAAAAGAAAGGGAAGCCAGCGCGGGGTCGACGGTCCTTCTCCCCCCCCTCCCTCAAAGACGGCGCTCCATTGTCTGCGCATGTGTGTCGCCAAGGCGCCTGCCGGCCGCCGGGCCACCGGCCCCAGTGCGCTTGCGCGAGAGGCCGGGAGCGGGGAGGGCAGGAAGGATGAGTCTGCTGCTGCTGCGGCGGTGGGTAAAAGCCGCCGGCCGCCGATAGAGGGCGACAAAAGGAACTGCGGGCTGCTCTCGCACCCCCCTCCCCGTTGGCCGGATGGGATATTGCAGGATGTTTTTTAACAGGAGGTTGGGCGACCACGTCCCTGGAATGGCATGGGATGTCCTGTTTGAGCAGGGGCTGGACTAGAAGACCTCTAAGGCCCCTTCTAGCCCTGTTGTTTTATGTTTCTGCCCCATCTGGGCAGTGGGGGCCTGGGGTCTCCTGTTCGAGCAGGGGGCTGGACTAGAAGACGTCTTAAGGCCCTTTCCAGCTTTGTCATTCTATGTTTCTGCCCCATCTGAGCAGTGGGGGCCTGGGGTCTCCTGTTTGAGCAGGGGGCTGGACTAGAAGACCTCTTAAAGCCCCTTCCAATGTTGTTATTCTATGTTTTTGCCCCATCTGGGCAGTGGGGGCCTGGGGTCCCCTGTTTGAGCAGGGGGCTGGACTAGAAGACCTCTTAAAGCCCCTTCCAATGTTGTTGTTCTGTTTTTGCCCCATCTGGGCAGTGGGGGCCTGGGGTCTCCTGTTTGAGCAGGGGGCTGGACTAGAAGACCTCTTAAAGCCCCTTCCAATGTTGTTATTCTGTTTTTGCCCCATCTGGGCAGTGGGGGCCTGGGGTCTCCTGTTTGAGCAGGAGGCTGGACTAGAAGACCTCTTAAGGCCCTTTCCAGCTCTGTCATTCTATGTTTCTGCCCCATCTGGGCAGTGGGGGCCTGGGGTCTCCTGTTTGAGCAGGGGGCTGGACTAGAAGACCTCTTAAGGCCCTTTCCAGCTCTGTCATTCTATGTTTCTGCCCCATCTGGGCAGTGGGGGCCTGGGGTCTCCTGTTTGAGCAGGGGGATGGACTAGAAGACCTTTAAAGCCCCTTCCAGCCCTCTTATTCTATGTTTCTCCCCCATCTGGGCATTGGGGGCCGGGGAAGGCCTGCTTGGGTGGGGGGCTGGCACTCAGTTTGATGCCCTGGAATAGTGGTGACTCACAACCCAGGTTACTTACTTATGGGAACAGCTGTTGTCCTTCCTGGCCGGCTTTGAAGCTTCCTATTTGCAACTTGTAGGGTTTCAGACTCCTATTGAATGCTTCCTTGGACGCTCTCGGGCCTCCTTACACTGGTGGTAAGTCCCAAAGATGCTTTTTTTTTTTTTTTTCAGGAGGCAACTGGACTTTCTCATTTTTCTTCGAAGACCTTTCGCCGCTCATCCCAGAAGCTTCTTCGGTTCTGACCAAACGGTGGAGGATGGAAGGATTTATAGTCCTCGCAGTCATCTGGTCCTTTGACCTCATCGAGGCCACCTGGAGGTTTGTCTGGGTCCTGAGTGGTGCAAATGGGTGGGGAGCCTTCTTGGCTGCAGGATGTTTTTGCCCTGGTGGTTTTTTTGCCAGGGTGAAAATATCCCACAGCCAGGAAGGCTCCCCATCCATTTGCACCACTCAGGTGATTCTGAGCACGCAGGTAAACCTCCAGGTGGCCTCAAGGGCTCTCCAAAAGAAGGCAAACGACCAGCGGTCTGCAAGGAGTATCAATCTTTCCACTCCCCACCATCCAGTCAGAGCTGAAGAAGCTTCTGGGATGAAAAGGGAAACGTCTTCAAAGCGAAACAAGAAAGTCTAGTCGTCTCTTGAAAAAGCACCTTTGGGACAACCAGGACTTGGAGGACTGAGCATAGACATTTACTGTTGTTCAGATGGGCCTTAGGTCTGTCAGGTGGTGGGAGAGGGACTCTCTGCCCCATGTGGTAGGAATGTGGGTGGTCCTTATAGGGGAAGAGCAGAGGGGTGGGTTTCAGATCTGCATTGCCTTCAGAAGTTGTGGGCGCCCCATCACTGGAGGTTTTTAAGAAGAGACTAAATGTTCACCTGTCTGAGATGGTATAGGTTCTCCTGCTTAAGCAGGGGGCTGGACTAGAAGACCTCCAAGGTCCCTTCCAGCTCTATTTTCTCCCAAGAAAAAGGCGGGCGAATGAGCTACGAAGAGCGGAAGATGCCCACTTTCCAAGCTGCCCCTGGGTATCTGCGTGGGCCGAGTTTGGGAGGAGGACAGTGGGGGAAAAAAAGCTCTTGTGTTCTTTCTTCCTTCTTGCAGAAGATGAGATGTTCTCGGATATCTACAAAATCACAGAAGTTGCCAACGGCCTCTGCCTGGAAGTGGAAGGGAAGGTAGGTGTGGGCTGGGGACAGAAAGGGGGGGGGGCTGGTTTGGCTCCATGGTGTAGTTCAGGTTAGGCAACCTGGGCTCTTTTATGACTCATGGACTTCCAAGTCCCAGAATTCCTGAGTCAGCACAGCTGACTCAGGAATTTTGGGAATTGAAGTCCTTGAGTCATAAAAGAGCCCAGAAACCAGGAATTTTTACTTAGAATAGAATTCTTTATTGGCCAAGTGTGATTGAACACACAATGCATTTCAATTTATTCATCCATTTCTTTCCCTGTCCCTTTCTATGCAGAGGTTGAATCTATTTGAGTAGCTCTTGAGCTAAATGCACAACTGTTGTTACCAGCGTAGGACAGCTTGCCCTCTCCCAAAATCACAGTACAATTACTATCTTAATTTTGATGGCACAGTTCCCCCCCCAACACACACACCTTAAAAACAGGAATGGGGGGGTTGATCAAGGGTTTGTGACTGGTGGGTGAAGGGTTTCAAGGTAAAAACAAACTATCATCCTCTAGATGTTTTTTTTTCCAACCCTAAAATTGCAGAAAAGCACCCCATAACATGGACAATAACCACTCATATTACATTGCCAGCCTTCTGATGTCATCCCCGCCAACTGATGAGGGAGCAATTGATCATGGCCCTTTAAGGGAATAAGATAGAAACCAGAAAGTAATAATTGAAATTTTGTTGTGTATACATCTTTGAATAATTATCACCTACTCTTAATTGATAATATTTTGAATAATGGAACAGATGTGTTAGGTGCTTTTGAAAGTTTAAAAAAAAACCCAAATTCTGGGCTTGATTTAGAGATGTGGAGAGAGTATAGGCCAGGGGTAGGCAACCTTGGCTCTTTTATGATTCGTGGACTTCAGCTCCCAGAATTCCTGAGCCAGCCATGCTGAAGGGAAAGGGAGAGGTTTCCAAGCTGAGCCAGGCTGGCTCAGGAATTCTGGGAGTTGAAGTCCACCAGTCCTAAAAGGGCCACGTTTGAAGACCCCTGACATAATGTGAGGGGGAAATAATGCTAACTCAGAAAGAGCTAAAGCGTTGTTTCTCAACCTCGGCCATTTTAAGAGGCGTGGACTTCAACTCCCAGAATTCCTCAGCGGGCGTGGTCCCTAAATGGACGGTTGTAAGTTGAGGATGACCTATAGGCGGCTTCTGACTTTATAATCGTTCGAATTGAGGAAAAAAAAACCACGGGTTTCTAGCGAATAATCGGTTGCGATCCTTCCCGTGCTCGTCTTACATATCGGGCTTTCTCGCTTACGTCCTTGTCCCAGATGGTCAGCCGGAAAGAGGGCGAAATTGACGATGCTCTGATTGGTGGAAACGCGTCCGCCGAAGGCCCCGAGGGAGATGGCACAGAGGCCACCGTCATCACCGGGGTTGACATCGTCATGAACCACCACCTCCAGGAGACCTCTTTCACCAAGGAATCTTACAAAAAGTACATCAAGGACTACATGAAGTCGTAAGTGGACCCTCCTTTTGTAGCTGAAGGGAAGTTTGATCCTCAGAGCTTTTGGAAAGGCTTGTCAAGCACAGCCACCCGTCCCTCTCCATGGATCAAACCCTCTGCTCTACACTCAGGCTACCTGGAGGGAGGGGGGATCTACAACTTGTAGATCACGTCACACTGGCAGGCTTGGAGATTCGATAAGCACAAAAGTATTCCTCAACTTCACAACTACGATTAATGATTATCAGTTGTTAAGTGGGGCCTCCCCCATTTTACGACCTTTCTCGTCACTCGTTAAGCGAGCCACTGCAGTTAAGTTAGCAACACCAGCTTAATCTTGGCATTGTTTTTCTTCTCCAGTCCTAAGGAGTTGCCTCGGATCAAACGGGGGGGCTACCGCCCCTCCGCGATCTAGCAAGACTCCTCCCCAACAGTGGTTGCCCCTCCAGGGCGACTTTTGACCCTTTCCAGGGTCTTCTGAAGAAGGAAAACCAGACAGCGGAGAGAGAGCTCTCTCCGAGCGTCCGCTAGCGCCGCGATCCGGAACTGGAAGTGGCATTGTTGAATGAATCTGGCTTCTCTCTCCCCCCCCCCCTTTGTCAGAAGGTCACAAAAGGGGATCATGTGATCCCAGGGACACCGCGACTGTCCTAAATACGAGCCGGTTGCCAAGCGTCTGAATTTTGGAGGACCTGACCTTGCAACAGTCGGGTGAAAAGTGGTTAAAAGTCCCTTTTTATCAGCACTGCTGTGACTTCAGTCACTAAATGAACTGTCGTAAGTCGAGGACTCCCTGTAGTTAAGCCTCCAGTAGTTAGGCAGTGAGGAAGGAAAGCAGTAATAGAACCTATCCTGATGGGAATTTGGGTTCCTGGTTATGCAGGCCCAGTCAAGGGGGCGTCTCCGGCAACTGGGCCTGCACAGCGGCATCAAAACGATGGCGTGTGTCTCGCGATGCCAAATGGCACAATTGTTTTAATAACGCAAGTAGGTTCCATCACACGCGGTTGCTGTCATGCACCTTTTGCTGACATTCTCCAGCATCTTCCAGTCAAAGACAACTCTGTACCATTCTAGCTTTTGTGGACGTGCCCAGATCTTGGAATCTTATATAATCTTCAACTGAACGACCATCACTGAATTTCTGCTGCTAACCAAGGCAGCGGTGAATCGCAGTATGATTTTTACAATCTTTTTGTTAAGCAAATCGCTGCAGTTAAAAGTGAATCGTGCGTCTGTTAGGCCAGGGGTCTTCCAACTTGGCCCTTGGATGACTTGTGGACTTCAACTCCCAGAATTCCTCAGCCAGGCACATGTGCCTGGCTGAGGAATTCTGGGAGTTGAAGTCCACAAGTCTTCCAAGGGCCAAGTTGGAAGACCCCTGTGTTAGGCATACATAGCTTCCCCCTTTGGCTTTGCACCTGGGAAGGTTGCAAATGGTGATCAGGTGACCCCCCAGAATCATTGTTAAATGCGTGACAGTGGCCTGAATTTTGACCCCAGGGTCCTAGTGTTGCGGCCAGCCGTTGTAAATGCGAGGACCAGTCACTTGGGTACGATTCCAACTTTGGTTTAACCAGAGGACTTTCCATATTGTCCACGGACGTTGCTTAAGTTACAGCCTTTGTGTTGTCGTACAATTTCTGTCTTGGGTTTGACATAAGGAGAAGACAGGGGATGTAGGTGTTGAAGAACTGTTTTCTGTCTCTAGGATCAAAGCCAGATTGGAGGAAACTAAGCCAGAGAGAGTAAAGCCTTTTATGACAGGGGCAGCTGAGCAAGTCAAGCACATCCTGGGAAACTTCAAAAATTATCAGGTGAGTTCACAGCCTCTTTTGCTTTCCCTCCCAAAATATATCGAGTCTCACGCGATCCCAGCATTGCTGTGAATGGGCTAGCTTTTTGCTACAGACTTTTTTTGACAGATTTTATCTGCCTGGGCTCCAAGATCACCGCAGATGGGGACTGCAGCCAAGAAATTAAAAGACGCTTGCTCCTGGGGAGGAAAGCTATGGCAAATCTAGACAGCATACTCAAAAGCAGAGACATCACCCTGCCAACAAAAGTGCGTATAGTCCAGGCCATGATTTTCCCAGTTGCAATGTATGGCTGTGAAAGTTGGACCATAAGAAAGGCTGAGCGCCAAAGAATGGAGGCCTTTGAACTCTGGTGCTGGAGAAGACTTCTGCGAGTCCCCTGGACTGCAAGGCGATCCAACCGGTCAGTCCTGGAGGAGATCAACCCCGACTGCTCTTGAGAAGGCCGGATCCTGAAGTTGAAACTCAAGTCCTTTGGCCACCTAATGAGAAGGAAGGACTCCCTGGAGAAGAGCCTGATGCTGGGAAAGATGGAGGGCAAGAGAAGGAGGGGACGACAGAGAATGAGGTGGCTGGATGGAGTCCCTGAAGCAGCAGGCGTGAGCTTCAATGGACTCCAGAAGATGGCAGAGGACAGGAAGGCCTGGAGGAACGCTGCCCATGGGGTCGCGATGGGGCGGACACAACTTCACAGCTAACAACAACAGACTTAAAAACACATTTTGTTAAATATCTGGATTTTATTTTTAAATGATTTGGGGAGTGGGGGCAGCTTTTTAACTTCAAGTGGAGATTCAAAGTCAGTGGTGGCAAACCTATGGCACGCGTGCCAGAGGTGGCACTCAGAGCCCTGTCTCGGCACGCGTGCCATGCCCCGAAGATGACAAGGGACTGGCCCCACCCACCCAGTCTGCCATGACCACTGCAGCCACGCCCACCCGGCCATAAATAAGTGATAAATGCAGTGTTCCAATATTTGAAGGGTGCCACAAGGCAGAGGAGCTCAAATTATTCTCCAAAGCACCAGAGGGAAGGACGAGAAACAATGCTTGGAAACTCATCAAAGAGCGAAGAAACCTGGAATTAAAGAGAAACTTCCTGACAGTGAGGACAATTAACCAGTGGAACAACCTGCCTCCAGAAGTTGTGGGCGCTCCATCCCTGGAGGTTTTTAAGAAGGAGCTAGACCAGTTTTGGCTCTTTTATGACTGGTGGACTTCAACTCCCAGAATTCCCGAGCCAGCATGGGGAACTATGGCCCCCTCATGACTCGTGGACTTCAACTCCCAGAATTCCTCAGCCAGCATGGGGGAACTATGGCCCCTTCATGATTTGTGGACTTCAACTCCCAGAATTCCTGAGCCAGCCTAGCTCAGCTTGGAAACCTATCCTTTTCCCCTCAGCGTGGCTGGCTCAGGAATTCTGGGAGTTGAAGTCCACCAGTCATAAAAGAGCCAAAGTTCCTCCCATGCTGGCTCAGGAATTCTGGGAGTTGAAGTCCACCAGTCATATAAGAGCCAAGGTGGCCTACCCCTGGACAAGACAGTCACCTGTTTGAGATGATGTAGGTTCTCCTGCTCGAGCAGGGGGCTGGACTAGAAGACCTCCAAGGTCCCTTCCCGCTCTGTTCTATTCCAAATGTTCTTAAGAGATTTATTTCCGTATCAGGGGAAGGAAAAACCTCCTTGTTTAGAAGCAGACGGCGCAAGAGCCCTCCTTGCCTATTTTAACCGGGGATATGTCTTCCTCTAGTTTTTTGTAGGCGAGAACATGAATCCAGACGGCATGGTGGGGCTACTGGACTTCCGCGAAGATGGCGTGACCCCCTATATGATTTTCTTTAAGGATGGATTAGAGATGGAAAAATGTGTAAGTGTTGACATTTAACAAGGCGCCGGGGATAACAATGCCTTTGCAGAGAGACGGGAGACCCCACAACCCACGGGCACGGAGGTCTTAACTGAGTCAGGCTGTTAAGAGTAGCGCAGTTGTAACAGCAGCCAGCTTGGTGTTTCCAGTGAGTCCACGGCTTACGACCACAATTTCTGTCGCATTTGTTAAGCGAACTTTGCCCCATTTTCAGCACCTTTCCCGCCCCGGTTGTTAAGTGAATCACTGCCATTGTTAAGCTAGTCACACGGCTGTTAAGTGGCTTTGCTTATCGGGGTCACGCGACCCCTGGGACACACTGCTGCGACCGTCGTAAGTACGAGCCAGCTGCCAAGCCTCTGAGTTTCAATCTTAAGACTGCGAGGTCAGCCCCCAAGTCCCTTTTTCCGGTGCCGTTGTAACTTTGAACGGTCACTAAATGAACCGTTACAAGTTAAGGACTAGCTGTATAAGAAATGGACAAACAAGATAGAGAATAACTCTTTATCTGACATTAACGTCACACTAACTCCCGACCCATCACGGCTATCGGGCTGTGCTCTTCCACCTTTGAGCGAAGTTCAGCAATGCGGCTAGCCCTCAACATAACGATCACAGTTTCTGTCGCTAAGCGAGACATTTAAGTGAACTTTGCTCCGTTTCACGCCTCCCTGGCCGCACTTAAGTGAAACCGTGCGGTTGTTAAAAATTAACACGCTTGTTAAGCTCCCCCCAACTTTGTTTGTCGGAAGGTCGCAAAAGGGGATCATGTCTCTCACACACACACACGCCACGACCGCCATAAATGCGAGCCAGTTGCCGAGCCTGTGAATTTGGATCAGGGATGCCGCAACAGTTGTAAGTGCAAGCAACAGTCCTAGGTCGTTTTATTTCAGTGCTGTTCTAAGATCCGACGGTCACTAAATGAACCGGTGTAAGTTGAGGACTACCTGTAATTTTTAAAAAGAATCTATGCAAAACCTGGCTGATGAGTTCTGTTATTTCTTAAAAAAAAATCAGTTAATTAATGAACCGGTGTAAGTTGAGGACTACCTGTGATTTTTAAAAAGAATATACCGTAAATGCCGGGGTATAAGGTGACTTCTGCGAGCGCTGAAATTGGCGCCAAAGACGGGGGTCGTCTTATACGCCGGGTCGCCTTGTACGCCGGCATATACGGTATGCAAAACCTGGCTGATGAGTTCCATTATTTCTAAAAAAAATCAGTTAATTAATGAACTGGTGTAAGTTGAGGACTACCTGTGATTTTTAAAAAAAATATATGCGAAGCCTGGCTGATGAAGCTGTTATTTCTTTTTTTTAAAAAAAAAATCTGAATTAATTTGTTCTGAATATTGCTGTTGGGGCCATTGCAGTTGGCCTTTTGTGTGTGTCCCCCCGAAAAAAAGTGTCTGGTGGAGAAGTTCTCCACCCCCCTTTGCTCTTTTCAACCCCCCCCCCCCCCGAGAAATAAGGGGGCGACATCTTCCTGAACCCCAAGCATCAACTGATAGGCCGGGAGGATTTTTGATTTCCTCGCTGGCTTGCATCCTGATGCAAGAGCGACTTTTCTCTGCGCTTTCTGTCTGCCCGGTCCCCGTAGCAGCTCAGATTGAATAAGGGAGAACATGTGTAAGCAACGGAAATGGCTGATTGGTGTTGTGTCCAAAGGGAAACCTGGCTTAACTTTCCTTCCTTTCTTAACAGTAACAAGAAACCAATCATTCCGAATCATTTGTCATCATAATTGGCTGCTGCTCTTTATTCATCATCCCAACAAAAAAAAAAAAAAACACCATCATGACTCAACAAATGTCTGCAAACCTGGACCTGATTTCATCTTGAGCTTAATTTGATTTATTTTGATCCCCTTCCCCCGAATTAATTGGAAGTGGAGGCATTTGGGGTTTTTTTTGTTTTGGGTTTTTTTAAAAAAAAAAAAGGAGGAAAAAAAAACTGTCTTGTAGGCTGTCTAAAATAAAAAAAAAACTCATTTAAACCCAGCATTAGGTGACGCCTCTTGGTTTAATGTGTTGAGCGGGATTCTTGTAGCTGTTGTGCGTTTGGATGGCTTGCTATCTCCCTAGCGGTAGTGTGGCCTTTAGCGGTTGCGTCTCCACATACTGGGACTTTGACAACTGGAAGATCGAATTGGCCACAACCGAACTGTTGTTTAGACAACTTGGAAAAAACTTCTAATAAATAAAAGAAGACGGAAGACTTTATGAAAGCAGACTTCGCAGCTCGTCACGCGGCAAATCGCAATAACTACTCGGGAGGACAAGGTGTGGCGTAGCTCCACACGCCAATCTGAATATTTCGCCCGTAAAGGAGGAGAGATGTCGTAATTTTTTTTTTCAACAAACACACATCATGGCAAATGCTGATTTGAGCAGAAAGTGGGAAGAGAATTCCTGGCAGCGGGAACGAGAATATTGGGCAAGGAACCTACGCATTTCTCGAGGCGTCGCTGACGTGTTGTAATAACGAAATAACTGTAATTTAAATACATTAAGTATAATACCAATTTCATCACAGGTTACTAATTTGCTGTGTGGTGTATCAATTCCTAAGCATGAAGCCCCTCGGTGCAGTTGGGTAGTAAACTACACGGATCAAAGGGAATGGCTTTACGCTGTGACCATGGTGTACTTCCAGTTTGAATTGTGCAAAGTTTGAAGGGCTGGAATCCTGATTATTTTTCCTCCCCAAGTAGTTGCTTGTAATTGGGGAGGTGGGAGGGCAGGGATGCGTATCACATTACTTCACGTTCTGGGCAATTGTAGATAACAGAAAGTGGGCAGGGGAGAAGAGCCGAGGTGGCGCAGCAGTTAGAGTGCAATACTGCAGGCCACTTTAGCTGACTGTGTTCAGGTTAGCGGTTCAAATCTCACCGGCTCAAGGTTGACTCAGCCTTCCATCCTTCCGGGGTAGGTAAAATGACCCAGATTGTTGGGGGCAATGTAAATATATATATATATATACATTGCTTACTGGTGTACACCGCTTAGAGAGTGCTTGCACTTAAAGCGGTATACAAGTCTCATAAATAAATAAGACCAATGCCTCTTCAAAGTGGAGAGGCCGGTCTGTGCTCTCCCTTTGGAGGGAAAGGGGGTTCCTGCAACAAGAGATTCTTCAGCTGACAAACTAGGAAACCAGGGTCAACAAAACGGCTTTGCAGCATAATGTATAGGAAAGGAACCTGGTGTGCTGCCCTAACCGGACTAAAAGTCTTGAATGCTAATTTTGAGAGTTCAGTTGCACAGAGGACTTCCTCTGCCCATGTTTCTCTTAAGCAGAAAGAAAAGCTCAAAAAAAATTTTTTTTTCCCATCAAACCTCTCTTGGGTGTAAACAAGGATAGACAATCTTTGAACCTGGCTAGCAAGAGCTGTTCAGCTCAGCACTAGTAGTAAAAAATACGCATAGGTTTAGGATGACCGAGCGCAGATCGAGTGGCTCTGGATTCTGTGTATAAAGAGTTGGTAGGTCTGAGCAGACAGGATTACAATTATTAATTTTGTAAATGAAAGTGCCTTATTTTCGGGAATAGCAGGTTTAGTGGATTGTTAGTTTTACTTTTTATCATGGCCTTGTTTTTCTATAAAGCTTAACCATTGACTGGTGCGTAGATAGATGATAGATCGATAGGCGGATGTAGAGATAGAGACATAGAGATTAGGGATGGATAGATGATGGATAGATATAGATGTAGAGAGATGGTAGAGAGGGATATAGAGAGATGGTGTAGAGACATGGATAGATGTAGAGATGGATAGATGATATAGATGTAGAGATTAGAGAGGGATAGATGGGTAGATAGAGATGGATAGATGGGTAGATAGAGATGTAGAGATGGATAGATGATATAGATGTAGAGATTAGAGAGGGATAGATGGGTAGATAGAGATGTAGAGATGGATAGATGGGTAGATAGAGATGTAGAGATGGATAGATGATGGATATAGATGTAGAGATTAGAGAGGGATAGATGGATAGATATAGATGTAGAGACAGATCTAGAGAGACGTACAGACTGATAGATGTAGAGATAGATGGATAGGTAGATACAGAGACAGATTAGAGAAGGATATAGATGACAGGTGTAGAGATAGAGACAAATGGATAGATAGGCAGACATGTAGAGGTAAGAGATGGATAGATAGGTGCACTCCTATTTAAATCTATTAAATATGCAAGTCAAACTATTAAGTTTGTTTTCAGCATTGGTTTTAATGGGAACTGCTAGCTGTAATTGACAAGATAGACAAACCGAGTGCTCTCTGGATATTTGGTGTGGTTCTAGTATTTTCGCTTTGTGTTTCAATTATGTTGTGCAGGTGATTCTAAATAGACAGACCTCCCTCCACAAAGCAAAGTTCTTTAGAGTCCCGACACCTGGAAGCTTTTCTGTTCGGCAATGGTACCCCGGAGTTTTTAAATGATGCTTAAAGCAATTGCCTGTCATATGGGTATATTAGAAGATAAATTGGTCATTAGGAACACCGGTGTTTTGCATTATGAAGAGCAAATATGTGTATAGCACAACTAGACGTTTTCCTGTCACTTGCAGTAGAGCAGTGTTTCTCAACCTTGACAATATTTAAGGCATGTGGACTTCGACTCCCAGAATTCCACAGCCAGCATTGCTGGCTGTGGAATTCTGGGAGTTGAAGTCCACATGCCTTAAAATGGTCAAGGTTGAGAAACACTGCAGTAGAGGGAAACTAGAAGAAATGTCCTTTAAATAGAAGTGAGTGCAGGATAGCTTTTATCTGTAGCTTTGCTTTTCTTGGGCCTTTCACAGCCTCTTTGAAAAAGGGTCACATGAAAGCAGCCAAACAGTGTTATCAAAAGTGTATTATTGGGAACCGCTTAAATGCTTCTGTGATTTGCGTGTGCATTTTTTTTTTTTTGGCTTGGCTATGCGGTTTCGTTGCCCTTGAAATCGCTCATTTGCAGGACTTTGGGTCGATCCTTTAAACATTTTAACTTCCTAGCTTAAATGTTGAGGGTAGTGTTTTTTAAAGTCTCACTATTTCCTTTCCGCTCTGTATTCTACAAACCCTGGGTGTTTGGCTAATAGGGAGCTTAATTACTGAGAAAAAAAGCTCTTTTGTATGCACGGGGTAAGCGTTTTCAGTTTTAAGAGTCTGATTAAGGACTATGCTGGGATAATAGAAGAAGTAAGATCTATTCACTGCCCTGGCAGACTTCCTATTTTGAGCCTTATGTTCAAAATGTTAAAAGGAAAAAAAAAAAACCCCAGAATTCTGAAGTATTAGTCACATATTGACGGGCAAAGCTATAGTCTTTTCCTATTTCCTGGGCATCAAGACCCCACATCCTGTCGTTCACCAGATTGTGTGAGTGCAACTGGGCTGTTTATTCAGTATATAAAACTGGGCATGTTTAATTCTCTTGGTAAGAAAGTTCTCAAGAAGACCACGCTTAAACAGCCGGGTGAAAAAAAATACTTTTATGTCTATGAAGTTCCTAAGTACCTAGGCCTGAGGCAGCAAAGCATTAAGATTTTTGTTTTTTAAAAAAGGTTTGTTTCTACAGAGGAACTAGCCTAAGAGTATTCAGGTTACTTTAGTGTAAAACATGGGTCTTGCTGGCAGATCCAAATGCAAAACTTTCACAAGACATGTAATCTTTTGAGCCAGAGAAATGTTAACGTTTGCCGTTGAGTCCACCTTAAAGCCAAAACTTCATTTTTAAATCGTTGGTTGTTAAAAAAAAATTCGTGGAGCCGATTTGAAGTGTTCCCTTATTTATTCTGAGCGCTTCCAATAGACTTAGTTTTATTTTAATGACCCCCTTGGCGATCTCTCTATAAATTGTAACATTTCAATCCTTTCTGTGTTCCACCTGTAATGTCTTTTGCACCCTTGCTTTGGATGAAAAGTTGAAGCGCTGGCAATTTTAAGGGAATTCGGACTGCCACATTCTATAAAACGCTTTTATGGAAATGTATATACCATTTCTGCATGTCTGGGGGCACGATTCAAAGACGTTTCTGCAGTATATAGATAATTGCTGTGCTTAATAGGCTTTGATAGAGTATAGGGCAGGGGTAGGCCACCTTGGCTCTTTTATGACTGGTGGACTTCAACTCCCAGAATTCCTGAGCCAGCATGGGGGAACTATGGCCCCTTCATGACTCGTGGACTTCAACTCCCAGAATTCCTGAGCCAGCATGGGGGAACTATGGCCCCTCATGACTCATGGACTTCAACTCCCAGAATTCCTGAGCCAGCATGGGGGAACTATGGCCCCTTCATGATTTGTGGACTTCAACTCCCAGAATTCCTGAGCCAGCCTGGCTCAGCTTGGAAACCTCTCCCTTTCCCCTCACCATGGCTGGCTCAGGAATTCTGGGAGTTGAAGTCCACCAGTCATAAAAGAGCCACAGTTGCCTACCCCTGATATAGGGCATCAAGTATTAGAGTCACAAACACGTCTGAAATTCTTCCATTGCAAGGAAAATTGCTTTTCCCCCCAAGTGTCTCCAGAGTTCCACTAATGCAGCTTGCGATCCCGTTTCCTGAAAATTGCTATCCAATCCCACACAATATTCCAGATAAATTTACCCACATTAGGTTTAATTACTCTTGGGAGAAGGTCTCTTTTTTATACACAAACGCCCCTTTCCATACAAAAATATTGAGATGGTTTACAACAATTTGAAAAGGTTTACACAATCAAAAAGGCCTTGGAGGCCTAGTGGCCAGCCCAGATAGGTGTTAGAAAGCCAACTGGGGAATCCTAGGCAGGTTTGAATTAGCCATCATTAAGGCAGAGTTGAGAACAGACCTGGGGGGGAAAAGCAACGTGTTCGTAAGCACCTTTTCCATTTCCTTCAGTCGCCGGAACGGAAAATAATGCCTTCAAATCAGATGCAAGAGGGTATCCTGTGCTTTAGTCAGAAATCACTCCAAAAAGTTACCTCATTAGAAGTGGGAGTCCTTAGCCCACCTTATTCCTGCTGGTGGGATAAGTACCATGGAACAATATTTTACATGCTGTGACAATAGCCTTACTACAACCCTACCACCAACAGAGGATAGAGTTACTACCACCTACCACCAATAGAAAAGATAGTGTTGCTACAACCCTACCACCAATAGAAGATAGTTACTACAACCTACTGCCAATAGAATAGAATTAGACTAGAATAAGAGAATGAATAGAAAATAGAATAGAATAGAGAAAAGGAATAGAATAGAACAGAACAGAATAGAATAGAATAGAATAGAATAAGGAATGGAATGGCATAGAATGGAATGGCATGGAATGGATTGGAATAGAATAGAATAGGAATAGAGAAAAGGAATAGAATAGAATAGAACATGGAATGGAGAATAGAATACAGAATAGAATAGAATAAAGGAATAGAAAGAATAGAATAGAATGTGGAATGGAGAATAGAATAGAAGTTGAATACAATCTGGAAGGGACCTTGGAGGTCTTCTAGTCCAGCCCCCTGCTCAAGCAGGATTTGATCTATTCTATTAGCCATTCATTTTGGCTGAATATTTTGCTATGAGTTCCACCGCTCATTCGTTGTGTCTTCAGTTCTCACAATGGAAGCCAAGGTCGCTCATAAATGGGGAAGCACCAACTCAATGGTGATAGCCCCTTCTGAGGCCAGGCTGAAGCCGCCCTTCCCAAAGATGAAGCAGGCACGTAAGCAAGAAGGATGAAAGCCAGGAATTGAGTCTAGAAAATCCCTTTTAGATAAGAGAGATAGATAAGAAGGAACCAAGTCATGAAAGACAGCAGGCTTGTAAATCCACAAAGCAAGATGAGCTGCCAGCAAAGCAAAGCAAAAGCAAGGACTTTGGGGGGTAGATGGTTCTTGAAGCCCGCCCACTCTTGGGATCCAAACATCTGGGAATTCCGTCCTTCTGGCTAGATTCTGCCAGCTTAGTTGAGAAGGACATAGGCAAGGGTGGACTGGATTGAATTGAATCTTTTATTTGTCCAAGGGCGATTAGACCAGGGGTAGGCAACCTCGGCTCTTTTATGATTCATGGACTTCAACTCCCAGAATTCCTGAGTCAGCTATGCTGGGAGTTGAAGTCCATGAATCATAAAAGAGCCGAGGTTGCCTACCCCTGGATTAGACACACCATGAATTTGTCTCCGGTTACAGCAGCTTGCTTCCGCTTACTTGCAAAACAACAGAGAGAAGAAGAAGAAGACCAACAAAAGGGAGAAGTAAAGAAGGTAATAAAAAGGATAAATAATAATACTACAGCCAAATGTGTTGTGGAGCTTCTTCATCATCCAGGTCATGGTTTTCCTAAATGTGTTTTTTTGTTGTTGTTTTTTTTTCAGGAGGCAACTGGACTTTCTTGTTTTTCTTTGAAGACATTTCGCTCCTCATCCAACAAAGGGAACTTCTTCAGCTCTGACTGGACAGCTCTCCCTGAATCCTGTCCTTCTCCCACCATCCAGTCAGAGCTGAAGAAGCTTCTTGGATGAGAAGCGAAACAAAGAGAAACAAACGAGGGGTAGGCCCACTAAAGACAGAAGGTAGTAAGGAAATTATAGGCCACAGGGAGAAAGCAGAGCTGCTTAACTCATACTTCGCGTCAGTCTTCACACAAAAAGAAACCGTAGCCCAACACACTGCAAAAGACATGCTAAGGAAGAAAATGGTAAGAGAACACCTGTCCAATCTTGATGAAGAGCCGAGGTGGCGCAGCAGTTAGAATGCAGTACTGCAGGCCACTTTAGCTGACTGTGTTCAGCAGGTCAGCGGTTCAAATCTCACCGACTCAAGGTTGACTCAGCCTTCCATCCTTCTGGGGTAGGTCAAATGAGGACCCAGATTGTTGGGGGCAATGTAAATATATATATATATATATATATATATATATATATATATATATATATATATATATATATATATATATATATATACACATTGCTTACTGGTGTACACCGCTGAGAGAGTGCTTGCACTTAAAGCGGTATATAAGTCTCATAAATAAATAAATGAAAACAAATCACCGGGACCCGACAGATTATATCTGAAGGAGCTGGCAGAGGTTATCTCAGAACCGTTGCACCACATCCTCCATAAATCCCGGAGCACCGGGGGAAGTATCCATGATTGGAAGAGGGCTGATGTGGTCCCCATCTTCAAGAAAAGGGAGGAAAAAAGGACCCAGGAAACTACAGACCAATCAGTTTAACATCAATACCTGGGAAGATCCTAGAAAAAAATAACCAAAAAACAGATCTGCGAACAACCAGAAGCAAACCAAGTCATAACTAGCAGCCAGCACAGGTTGGTTAAAAACAGATCATGCCAAACCAATCTCATCTCATTCTTCGACAAAGTAACTAAACTAGTAGATCAACAAAATGCAGTGGACGTCGTATATTTAGATTTCAGTAAGGCATTTGATAAAGTAGACCACAACCTACTCCCCGGTAAGCTAGAGAAAAGGTGGAACAGACAACATCACCAGCAAGTGGATCTGTAGCTGGTTGACAAACTGTACTCAGTGAGTAGTCCTCAGTGGCACTACATCCACATGGAGAGAAGTAAGCAGTGGGGTACCACAAGGATCCGTCTTAGGCCCAGGACTCTTCAATATCTTCATCAATGACTTAGATGAAGGAATTGAAGGGGAACTCAACAAATTCGCAGATGACACCAAATTGGCAGGAGTAGCCAACCCCCCAGAAGACAAACACAGGATCCAAAAAGATCTGGACAAACTTGAACAATGGGCCCTATCCAACAAAATGCGTTTCAACGTGGAGAAAAGCAAAGTTTTACATTTAGGCCGGGAAAACCAAAGGAACAAATACAGATTGGGCGAGACCTGGCTCAAAAACAACAACTGTGAGAGGGATCTTGGAGTCCTAGTGAACGATCACTTGACCATGAGCCAGCTGTGTGCAGCAGCAACCAGAAAAGCTAATATAATCCTGGGTTGTATAAACAAAGGCATAGAATCAAGATCACACGAGGTATTAGTACCGCTTTATAAAGCCTTAGTAAGACCACACCTTGAATACTGCAGCCAATTTTGGTCACCATATCACAAAAAAAGATGTTGAGAGACTGGAAAAATTCAGAGAAGAGCAACTAAGATGATCCAAGGCCTGGAGACTAAAACATATGAAGAATGGCTGCAGGACTTGGGCTTGGCTAATCTAAAGAAAAGAAGAAATAGGGGAGACATGATAGCAATATTCCAGTATCTGAGGGGCTGCCACAAGGAAGAGGGGGCCAGGTTGTTCACCACAGCACCAAAGGGAAGGACAAGAAACAATGCTTGGAAGCTGATCAAGGAGAGAAACAACCTGGAATTAAGGAAAAACTTCCTGACAGTGAGGACAATCAACCAGTGGAACAGCTTACCCCCAGAAATTGTGAGTGCTCCATCGCTGGAAGTTTTTATAAAGAGACTGGACAATCATCTGACTAAGATGGTGTAGGTTCTCCTGCTTGAGCAGGGGGCTGGACTAGAAGACCTCCAAGGTCCCATTCTATTCTATTCTATTCTATTCTATTCTATTCTATTCTATTCTATTCTATTCTATTCTATTCTTCTATTCCATTCCATTCCATTCCATTCCATTCTATTCCATTCCATTATTATTCTAGTCCAGTCCAGTCCAGTCCAGTTGCCTTGTGAAAAAAGCCCCTTTGGGATAACCAATTTCAAAATGATAGAATATCTAACATTCCGTTGGGTCTTTTTCTTATCTGATTCAAGTTTTTTGTAACCCCAAAATGGTGATTACAACTTTGTGGGAATGTGAACTTCTTCTTTTTACTTATTCCACTTCTGTAACCCAGCGTGGATGTTCTAGCATAGATAAACAGAGGTTCTTTCCAAGTGAACCTTTGGCCAATCAATGCTCAAGGCTAAATTCTGACTAGTTTACTCTAGAACAGTGTTTCCCAAACTTGACAATTTTAAGGCATGAGGACTTCAACTCCCAGAATTCCACAGCCAGCAACGCTGGCTGGGGAATTCTGGGAGTTGAAGTCCACATGCCTTAAAATTGTCAAGTTTGGGAAACACTGCTCTAGAACATCTATGTTCTGCCAAGTTTAGCCAGATTCTACATCTTGGTTCATCCCAAGATTCTGGTGCAAAGCCAGAATTGGAGCGGCCACAACACATCTGTGCTGATAACCCCGATGGAAGATGTCCAACCATATAGTATGTCTAAGACATAACACTATCCCTTTGTACATCACACCTGCTTTTGAAGTTAAAGAAGGAGAGAAGCAACCTAGAACTGAGTAGAATTTTGCTAACGTGGACAGCAATCAACCGGTGGAACCGCTTTCCTCCAGAAGCTGTGGATGCTCCATCACTGAAGACTTTGAAGAAGAGATTGGACAACCATTTGTCTGAAATGGTATAGATCAACAAAATTACTCAACAGTAAGTTTTTAGAATCAGAGAAAATGCATTGTAATGTTACTATCAGAGGGAGCAGTTGTTCTAGTTCATGTTCCACCATTTCATTCACATTTTGGGGGTTCTGGAAAACGTCAAATTGGATTCCCGAGTCCTTTGAGGACTGTGTCTATGAGGTTTTTCTGCCAGCACTATTGAAGTTGTCTGAAATGGGGTGTCAAACTGCCGGCCCACGGGCCGGACACATCATGCCAAAACCGCGCCCACCCCATTGCCGGTAGTGGGGAAAAAAAGTCACGATACGTCATGACACATCACGTGACATTGCGAGTTTGACACCCCTGGTCTAGGATTTCCTGCTTGAGCGGGGGGGGGGGTTGGACTAAAAGACCTCTGAGGTCCCTTCCTACTCCGTTATTCTATGTATTATGTTCTAAGTTTCACCAACCTTCCAGAATTAATTTTGAAGGCCGCAAAAGAAACGCCAGCTGATTTGCGTTCTCAATGGAAACAGAACGTTAGATTATGTCCAGAATGGTTTGCTTTTAATTCGGTTATTTTTTTCCTTCTTTTCACTATCAGCTATGTGCCTAAATATAAAGTTTCTTCTACCTGACTCATTCTAAAATCCATTTATGGCCAATTGAAAATATGTCCAACTTCTAATTATTCTGACAAGCATGTAAAGGCTATTCGCCATCCCAGGACATGTTCTTGGGAAACAGTTTTCAAAAATGCGGCTGTGTCCTTTGGAACCAAAAGCCTAGTACAATCTGGATCCCTGAAGGTAAATAATTTTTAGAATAAATGTATCTGTCTTTAAAGTTATTTTAAGACTTCTCTGTTGTTCAATATAATGGGCTGACTCAAGAGGCTGATCCTAATACCAGCCCAGCATTAAATAAAACTTCTTACTCGATTTGTTAACATGGTTATATTTTTATAAAATGCAAGGAAATTGCAAGAAAAGGCCATACATTAAAAACCCAAGTTTATTCTATAAATAATTTGTATGCAATAAACATACCACTAAAAAGTTAGATAGCATTCCAGAAAAATCTTTTAAGCAATGGAGACAGGGCTGATTACAAAAGCTTACTCTTTGAATGATGGAAGTTTTCTTCTGCTTTCAAAGTTGATGGCTTCCAGGTTGCTAATCGCTTTTATCTTCATTCTGATAATGCCTGTATTCCGGCTTCAGTTCCCAAGTGCTTTTGTGTGGCCCCTTAAAATTATAGATGCCTATTTCTCTCAAAATCTCCTTTAAATAGATCTGAAAGAAAGCAGAGAGATTGACTGAATGTGGTATGAATATAGGATGTCATTATGTTGAAGCCAACCTATCCCAGACCGAGGACAACCTCCCTTCAAAGAATACATTTACACCAAGCTGACGGTGGAGGTTAATTCGTTTTTCTACTTCCTCAGAATTAAATGGGGGTGAGGGGAGGAAAGTTGAGCAAGGTGGTTTTCAAAGTGCCCGAGGGCAGGAAAAGAAGCAACGGATGGAAACTAATCAAGGAGTTGACTGTGTTCAGCAGGTCAGCGGTTCAAATCTCACCGGCTCAAGGTTGACTCAGCCTTCCATCCTTCCGGGGTAGGTAAAATGAGGACCCAGATTGTTGGGGGCAATGTAAATATATATATATACATTGTTTACTGGTGTACACCGCTTAAGAGAGTGCTTGCACTTAAAGCGGTATATAAGTCAAATAAATAAATAAATAAGGAGGGAAACAACCTGGAATTAAGGAGAAACAGTGAGAACAATTAACCAGCGGAACAACCTGCCTCCAGAAGTTGTGGCTGCTCCAACACTGGAAGTTTTTAAGTTTTTTAAGTTTTTAAGAAGAGACTGGACAGCCATTTGCCTGAAATGGTGTAGGGCAGTGATGGCGAACCTCTTAGAGACCGAGTGCCCAAACTGCAACCCAAAACCCACTTATGCATCATTGAGTGCCAGGTGGGCGTGGCCCATTAGGTGGGCGTGGCCCATTAGGTGGGTGTGGCCCATTGGGTGGGCGTGGCTGCAGTGATAACGGCAGACTGGGTGGGACTAAAAAGTTCAATCAATCAATTCCAAGTTTGCAAGATCTTTTTTTTCCCACGAGAAGTTGAAATTGACTGATTGATTGAACCTTTTTTTTTTTTTGCACACGGCGGCGGAGGCCTAAAGTGAAAAGGTTTTATAAAACCCAGCTGAAGGCCTAGGACTGGGGCAACAGCGCCTGTACCCACAGAGAGGACTCTGAGTGCCACCTCTGGCACCCATGCCATGGGTTCACCACCACTGTTGTAGGGTCTCCTGCTTGAGCAGGGGGTTGGACTAGAAGACCTCCAAGGTTCCCTTCCAGCTCTGTTATTCTAAATTCTACATCCATATTAAAGCTGGTGACCTTCATTATCAGCATCCCAGTTCATTATCAATATCAACAGGATGTAAACCTCACCCAAATCACCCCTAATTTGGAAGACAAGGTCCACATCTACCATATCTACGCGTGCCTGGCTGAGGAATTCTGGGAGCTGAAGTCCACCAGTCATCAAAGGGCCAAGTTGGAAGACCCCTGCTCTACACATTTCCAAAATAGCTGTAGATTCAAAGCAGCCAACGCTTAGGATGGGTGGATTCTGTGTGTCTGCGGATGCCAATTCTCCCAATATTAATCATATAGTAGTAGAGCGTCAACTCCCCACAAGGGGGCAGTAACTTATCATAGGAATCCAAAAAAATAAATAAATTTGGTGATCAACAAGCAGAAGAAAACCCAAACGTGCTTTTTCACAAAGCAACTGGACTTCCTTATTATGCTTTGGAGACGTTTCCCTTCTCATCCCAGAAGCTTCTTCAGCTCTGACCGGATGGTGGGGAAGGGAAGGATTTATACTCCTTGCAGACAGCTGGTCATTTGCATTTTTTTAAGAGCGTCGTTGAGGCCACTTGGAGGATTACCTGTGTCCTCGGGGTCACCTGAGTGGTGCAAATGGGTGTGGAGCCTTCTGGGGACCTTCTACAACATGGTCCTTTCAGCAGTTCCAGGAAGGCTCCACAGACACTTGCACCACTCAGGTGATTCTGAGGACATGGATAAACCTCCAAGTGGGCTCAACGACTCTCTGAAAGAAGGCAAAGGACCAGCCGTCTGCAAGGAGTATAAATCCTTCCACTCCCCACCATCCAGTCAGAGCTGAGGAAGCTTCTGGGATGAGAAAGGAAACGTCTTCAAGAATAATAAGAAAGTCCCATGAGGACACAGCTAAACCCCCAAGTGGCCTCAACGATTCTCTAAAAGAAGGCAAAGGACCGGCTGTCTGCAAGGAAATTAAACCCTTCCATCCCCCACCATCCAGTCAGAGCTGAAGAAGCTTCTTGGATGAGGAGCGAAACGTCTTCAAAGAAAAACAAGGAAGTCCAGTTGCCTCCTGGAAAAAGTACTTTTGGGATAACTATGACCTGGATGACTGAGGATCTTCTCAAAGGAGAGACTGGACTGTCCAGGCATCCTTGCCCTTTTCCAACTTGGAATGTTTAATCTCCCTCCCTCCCTCTTTTTTTCTCTCTTTCCCTCCTTTTTCCTCCCTCCTTCCCTCTCTTTCCCCCTCCCTCTCCCTGTCCCTTTCTTTCTCTTTCTCTTTCCCTCTTCCTCTCCCTCCCTCTCCCTTTCTCCCCCACTTTCCCTCTCCCTCCCTCCCTCCCCTTTCTTTCTCTCTCTTCCTCTCTCCTTCCCTCTCTCTTTCCCCCTCCCTCTCCCTCCGTCCCTCTTTTTTTTTTGCTTTCTCTATCTCTTTCTCTCCCTCTTCCTATTCCTTTTGGGATAACTATGACCTGGGTGACTGAGGATCTTCTCAAAGGAAAGATTGGACTGTCCAGGCATCCTTGCCCTTTTCCAACTTGGAATGTTTAATCTCCCTCCCTCCCTCTTTCTTTCTCTCCTCCTCCCTCTCTTCCCCCTCCCTCTCCCTCTGTCCCTCTTTCACTTTCTCTCTCCCCCCCTCCCCCCTCTGTAATGACTTGTCTTCCTCTACTTGGGTTTTCTTCTGCAGTCAAACAGGCTTTTGCCATTATGGAAGAAAAGGAAAGACAGAAACAATGTGATGAAACCAATAATTAAGAGGAACTGATTAATTAAAGGACATTTCACTTGCCTGGTCTCGCCAAGCAGAAAAACATTACAGTTAGAAGAAAATGTGCTTTCCAGAGCAGGAACGTTCCAATTTAAATACCTTGGAGCTGCAACTGGGTGCTTTAAGTAAAACGGAGGCTTAATTAAGTAGACCTGTATTTATCACTTGTTTGGATGTATGTCCCGTTGGAACTAAAGGATCGACACTCTGTTGATTTAGAAAAAAGAGAGCATCGCCTGCGCTCGTGGGAAAAGGAGGAGGAAGAGGAGGAGGAGGAGGAGGAGGAGGAGGAGGAGGAGGAGGAAGAGGAGGAGAACTGTGGGGTCCTGGGTGCTCTCCGAGCTCGGCTGTTTTTTTGCAGACGTTTCATTACCCAACTAGGTAACATCATCAGTGCTAGAAAGGAGAGGAGGAGGAGGAGGAGGAGGAGGAGGAGGAATGTGAGGTCTTTGGTGCTCTCCGAGCTCAGTTGTTTTTTGCAGACTGCCCCCCCCCTCCCCATGTGTCTTTGGCTGTAAGGTTTCATTTTAACATTTTTTGTTTTAACTAAGATGTAATTGTAAGCCCACCCAGAGTTCCTCTATGGTAAGATGAGCGGCCAATAAATTTAACACCCACACATACATTATACACACACACACACACACTTACATCAGCATCGCCTGCGCTCGTGGGAAAAGGAGGAGGAGGAGGAGGAGAAGAAGAATGTGGGGTCCTCAGTGTGCTATGAGTCTGGTGGTTTCCTTGCAGATGTTTCATGACCCAACTAGGGAACATCAGGAGGATGGGGGGAGGAGGAGGAGGAGGAGGAGGAGGAAAGGGGGAAGAGAGAGAGAGAGGAGGAGGAGGAGGAGCCATCCATGATCTCAAAGACCACGCATGATGAAGGCAGAAGAACGTGGAAAGAGAAAGGGATGCTCTCACATGGGTTCCTATCAAAAGCACAGAGATCCAGGATGGCAATTCCAGACCGCACAGCTCACGCAGGAACACCACAAGTCTGAGAACGTCCTCAAGTGCAACAAGTAACACACCCTCCTTCCTGGCCCGGCCAAACAATCCAAGGTTACACCAGCCACACAACTTCAGCGGCATCGTTCTTGCCTTCAACCACCCTGTGTCCCACGTTCTTAGGACCCTTCGTCAGTTACTACAGATATTACAAGTGATGGTGCCTGCCAAAGAGCAGAACAGTAATATTCTCGACCCCAGAAGCCAAACAACATGTCTGTGTTTGTGTGTGTGTGTGTATTTTGGACAGTGTTAGCAGGCAGGAGCTACTTATATCCAGGGGGTTGGTGGTCGCGCAGATAACACTGTCACGTCTCAAGAGGGTCTCACAGCTTGTCTTGTCTTACACAACCCAACAGAAAGAAGCATCAAGCGTTTTCGACAACACAGCCACACCTTAAAGTAAACTCCTGGATGATGGGTGGAGCCTAAGAACCTCTGAAGACGTCCGGTGGGTACTATGTGCAAGTAGTCCTCATTTAGTGACCGTTCAAAGTTACAGCACCTCCAGGGTCACGTGATTTACCTTCGGGCGCTTGACAACCGATTCACATTTGTGATGGTCACAGTGTCCTGTGTGTGTGTGTGTGTGTGTGTGTGTGTGTGTGTGTGTGAGAGAGAGAGAGAGAGAGAGAGAGAGAGAGAGAGAGAGAGAGAAAAACGGAGACGTGATCCCCTTTTTGCGACCTTCTGCCAAGCCGAGTCCACGGGGGAAACTGGATTCGCTTAACAACGGGGTTACTAATTCACCAACTGCAGCGATTCACCTTAACAACACTGGCCCAAAAGGTCGTAAAATGGGGCAAAACCCAGGTAAACAAATTCTTTTTACTTAGCAACGTAAATTCTGGGCCCGACTGTGGCCGTAGGTCAGGGGATGACCCCCACTACGCAACGCATAAAATTCTGCCTGCGGAGCCCCGCCCAGCGCTAGCGACGGCTGGCGTCCTTCCGCAGCTTAGTCGGAAAGAGAGACAGGAGGAAACTGGGCGGACTTTGATTAGTTTTCGTCTCTGTTTATCCTTTGAAATTAACGTTCCCGTTTTCTCCATCCCTTAGACGCCCCGTCAAATCCCTCCAACATCGGCTCCCGGCTGCTGCGTCGATATTCTCCTATTTTCTTGCCTTTCTACCGAGAGGAGCAAAATCAATATCTGTCACGGAGAAACAAAACAATTAGTCAGCTTCTTAGTTTGTAGGAGGCGAAGGAGTTGGAACGGCAGCACTTCGGCATGGAGAAATAAAACAAGTATCTACAATTTGCTTTCTCTAAAGCGGGGGTCCCCAACCCCCAAGCCATGAACCGGTACTGGGCTGCGAACGCCAGCAACCGGTCCGCACAAACAAGCAAAGCCCCATCCATGAGATGCAGGCAGCACACAAAACCACGCACCCTCCGGTCTGCGGAAAAACCTCTTTCCACGGAACCGGTCCCTGGTGTCCAAAAGATTGGGGTCCTCTGGACTAGAGTCATCTATAACAGGGGTCCCCAACCCCCAGTCCATGGACTGGTACTGGACCGCGGAATGCCAGCAACCGGTCCGCACAAACAAGCAAAGCCCCATCCATGAGATGCAGGCAGCACACGAAACCATGCATCCTCCGGTCCTCGGAAAAACTTCTCTTCACGGAACCGGTCCCTGGTGTCCCAAAAGTTGGGGACCTCTGTCCTAAGTGATCATCTAGTCCAGAGGTCCGTGGACCGGTACCGGGCCACGGCATGCCAGCAACCGGTCCACACAAACACACAAAGCAACACCCGCGAGATGAGGCAGCACACAAAATCACGCACCCTCCGGTCTGTGGAAAAACCTCTCTTCGTGGAACCGGTCCCTGGTTCCCAAAAGGTTGGGAGCCTCTGGGCTAGAGCCATCTATAACAGGAGTCCCCAACTCCCGGTCTGTGCACCGGTACCGGTCCGCAACATGCCAGCAACCGTACCGCACAAACACGCAAAGCAACACCCGCGAGATGCAGGCAGTACACAAAACCACGCACCCTCCGGTCCGCGGAAAAACCTCCCTTCACACAACCGGTCTCTGGTGCCCAAAAGGTTGGGTTCCTCTGTTCTAGAGCAACTGACTCACAGCTGCAGGAGAAATATTTCAATTTATGGCCACGGATTCCTAGACAGCCACAACTCCAGACCCTTCAAGACGGGAGCGTCAAGGGGACTGATGCAAAATACGCAGTGGGATTAAGCCTACTTCACGGAAGGTAATTGCAGAATAACTCACTGCAGAGATCTCTTTGTGCAACTGGTGGCGAAATTTAGCATGACAACAATATTACATGGGAAACTATCATCTATGGATGCTTCCAAATTGGGGGTGTGGGCGCGAGAAGGACGAGGGGGTGACATGACAGCAGCGTTCCAGTATCTCAGGGGCTGCCTCAAAGAAGAGGGAGTCAAGCTATTCTCCAAAGCCCCTGAAGGCAGGACAAGAAGCAACAGATGGAAACTCATCAAGGAGAGAAGCAACCTGGAACAACCTGACAGTTAGAACAATTAACCAGTGGAACTCCTTGCCTCCAGAAGCAGTGAATGCTCCATCACTAAAGGCTTTCCAGAAGAGACTGGACCCGGGGTGGAATAAAGTCTTCTGCCTTGGGCACAGGGGTGGACTAGGAGACCTCTGAGGTCCCCCCCAGCTCAAGGGTTCTGTGCCATTCTAGGATTCCTCTTTTCCAACACTGTACATAATTTGTCCTTGCAACTGTCAGCATAAACCGCGATACTTTTCATTTATGTTTTCTGGGATTGTACCCAATAAAGCTATTTGTGGTTTCAGCTCATATTTTATTTTTAGGGTTGACTTACCACGGGCTGTTTAGTTATATCCACCAAGTCTTTAATATTGTAATACTGGTGTTTCTCAAAAGCAGAGAAGAGCATGTCCAGCACTTGCTGCTTTTCAGCTCGGGCCCGCTTGCCGTCCTCTTTTTTCTTCTTGTCGTACTCAATCTAGTCATTGAAACAACAACAACAACAACAAAAATACATATTTTCAAACTAGTTAGAGAGTGTTGCGTTTAACAGCGGCAACAGAAATAATCCAGCTCCCTTCGGTTTTTATGGTAGCACGAAGAGGGTAAATTTTAGGGTATTTTGACAGAACTGAGTTTAATTTTTTTTTTAAAAAAAAAAAAGGGTTTTGTTTATCCCGTAAAGCAATTCAGCCCAATCAGGTGACATTCAAAACCACTCTTGACCCAACAAACCAATTTTAATGTAGCAACGGAAGAGAATATTTGTAGCTCGGGATTCAACGGTGAGGTTCCTGGGTGCTCTCCGAGCTCGGCTGATTTTTTTGCAGACGTTTCGTTACCCAACTAGGTAACATCATCAGTGCTAGAAAGGAATTGTTGAGGAGGAGGAGGAGGAGGAGGAGGAGGAGGAGGAGGAGGAGGAGGAGGAGGAGGAGGAAGAGTGTGGGGGTCCTTTGTGTTCTCTGAGCTCAGCTGTTTTTTTGCAGATGTTTCATTACCCAACTAGGTAACATCATCAGTGCTAGAAAGGAGTTGAGGAGGAGGAGGAGGAGGATTGTGAGGTCTTTGGTGCTCTCTGAGCTCAGTTGTTTTTTGCAGACTGGCCCCCCCTCCCCATGTGTCTTTGGCTGTAAGGTTTCATTTTAACATTTTTTGTTTTAACTAAGATGTAATTGTAAGCCCATCCAGAGTTCCTCTATGGTAAGATGAGTGGCCAATAAATTTAACACCCACACATACATTATACACACACACACACACACACTTACATCAGCATTATTGAGCTTCCAACCTTTTCTATACCCTGCACCCCTAGAACGCTTCTGATATATTTTCACGCCCCTTACGAAAGTTTGAAATAACGGCAACAAATTATGCATGTTGTTGTTGTTAGTTGCAAAGTCGTGTCCGACCCATCGCGACCCCGTGGGCAACGTTCCTCCAGGCCTTCCTGTCCTCTGCCATCTTCTGGAGTCCATTGAAGCTCAATAAGGAGCCGAGATGGTGCAGCAGTTAGAGTGCAATACTGCAGGCCACTTTAGCTGACTGTGTTCAGCAGGTCAGCGGTTCAAATCTCACCGGCTCAAGGTTGACTCAGCCTTCCATCCTTCCGGGGTAGGTGAAATGAGGACCCAGATTGTTGGGGGCAATGTAAATATATATATATACATTGCTTACTGGTGTACACCGCTTAGAGAGTGCTTGCACTTAAAGCGGTATGTAAGTCTCATAAATAAACAAATAAATAAATAAATAAAATAATGCATGGACACTATAATTTTGAAAACCCAGGTTTTTGCATTCCCTGGAATATCGTCTCGCACTCCAGGTTGGGAATCCCTGGCATGCATCCATCTATCCATCCATCCATCCATCCATCCATCCAATACTCTTACTAAGTAGTATGTGATGCTGGACAATCATATTCAGCAACCTGGGTCCAGCAAGGCCTCTAATCTGAGTTGAAGAAAGAACCAGAATAAAAAAAGGTGAAAAGCGACTCACGTTGTACTGATGATTAGCCACGGGCTTGTAATTGGTGGTGACCGCCTTATCCAGCTGCATCGTCCAGCTGACGGGCTTTGAGGATTCTTCTATCTGCAGTCTGAAGGGGGGAAAAAAATCAGAGAGGAGATCAAGAAGGGCGACTCCTTAAGGATTTCTCTGCATCCTTCCGTTTGTGACAGTCAAAACATCGTCTGTGAAACGATGCGGATAAAGAGCAAGTCCGTCAAGGGTCAAGTAACTTTTTGGGATGAGACCTCAGAGGCCTTTTTCTGAGGAGAAGGCACCACGAAATAAACCTTAGGCCTTACAAGGTCTTGGTAAGGCCACGCTTGGAACACGGCATCCAGTTTTGGTCATCACGATGTAAAAAAGATGTTGAGACTCTAGAAAGAGCGCAGAGAAGCACAGCAAAGGTCCCTTCCAGCTGTATTGTATTATATTGTATTGTATTGTATTGTATTGTATTCTACTCTACTCTACTCTACTCTACTCTATTCTCATTCTATTCTATTCTCATTCTATTCTACTCTATATTCTCATTCTATTCTTTCTTATTTCATTCTATTCTCATTCTATTCTATTCTCATTCTATTGTATTCTCATTCTATTGTATTCTACTCTACTCTATTCTCATTCTATTCTATTCTACTATATTCTCAATCTTTCTATTCTACTCTATTCTCATTCAATTCAATTCAATTCAATTCCATTCTATTCTATTCCATTTTCTATTCTATTCTATTCATTCCTTATTCTATTCTATTCTATTCTATTCTATTCTATTCTATTCTATTCTATTCTCATTCTATTCTACTCTATTCTCAATCTTTTTATTCTACTCTATTCTACTCTATTCTCATTCAATTCTATTCTATTCTATTCCATTTTCTATTCTATTCTATTCATTCCTTATTCTATTCTATTCTATTCCATTCCACAATCTATTCTATTCTATTCTATTCTATTCTATTCTATTCTATTCTATTCTATTCTATTCTATTCTATTCTATTCTATTCTATTCTATTCTATTCCAACCTTTAGTTACCAACATTGGGGTGGGGGTTTCTCATTTTGTATACACAACCCTGCCTAAGGCAACTCTCCCTCCCCCGTACTCATCTGACATAAGGCTGTCAAACAAGCCACATTTGAGTCCCGGCAAAGCTACTTCGGAAAAATTAGTTCTTGGGGGGGGGGATGTCCCAGTTTCCCTGCAGAAAAACAAACAAGAATCTCTTCCCCCCCCCCCAAAACTGCCCGTGAGCGCCACCGCAGACGGAGCATGAAAGACCACTCAGAGACCGCCACTGCCGAGAAAAACAACCAGGTGTTTTGTGAAGTGTGAAGGTGCATTCTTGGAAAAATGATTCAGGTTTTCAAAAGGAGAGAATTAGCTGTCTCCGCTGCCTCCTCTGTGCTTCTTCTAATTACCGGTTAGACTTTTTGCTCAGCCGCCGAGAAAGTTGTGGAAAGGCCTGATTGTGGTGTGTCTGCACCCCGGTTCGAAGGGAGCCCCCCCAAATTTCAGAAGTCACAGACTCCGGATTTTGGACTCCATTCTGTACGTCAGCCCATTTCAGGTAGACCTGGGTTCAAAAACTCATAATAATAACTATAATAATAAAGTTGGAAGGGACCTTGGAGGTCTTCTAGTCCAACCCCCTGCTCAGGCAGGAAACCCTATATACCATTTCAGACAAATGGTTGTCCAGTGTCTTCTTAAAAGCTTCCAGGGTTGGAGAAGGGAAGGAGGGGAGGAGAGGAGGAAGGAAGGAAGGAAGGAAGGAAGGAAGGAAGGAAGGAAGGAAGGAAGGAAGGAAGGAAGGAAGGAAGGAAGGAAGGAAGGAAAATAACAGAAGGGTCCTTGGAGGTTATCTAGTCCAACCCCCTGCTCAGGCAGGAAACCCTATACCATTTCAGACAAATGGTTGTCCAGTGTCTTCTTAAAAGCTTCCAGGGTTGGAGAAGGGAGGGAAGGAAGTAAGGAAGGAAGGAAGGAAGGAAGGAAGGAAGGAAGGAAGGAAGGGAGGGAGGGAGGGAGGGAGGAAAGGAAGGAAGGAAGGAAGGAAGGAAGGGAGGGAGGGAGGGAGGGAGGGAGGAAAGGAAGGAAGGAAGGAAGGAAAATAACACTCAGAAGGGTCCTTGGAGGTCATCTATCCAACCCCCTGCTCAGGCAGGAAACCCTATACCATTTCAGACAAATGGCTGTCCAGTGTCTTCTTAAAAACTTCCAGTATTAGAGAAGGGAGGGAAGGAAGGAAGGAAGGAAGGAAGGAAGGAAGGAAGGAAGGGAGGGAGGGAGGGAGGAAAGGAAGGAAGGAAGGAAAATAACACTCAGAAGGGTCCTTGGAGGTCATCTAGTCCAACCCCCTGCTCAGGCAGGAAACCCTATACCATTTCAGACAAATGGTTATCCAGTCTCTTCTTAAAAACTTCCAGTGTTGGAGCATTCACCACTTCTGGAGGCAGGTGGTTCCACTGGTTATCTCAAACTATTAGAGGTCAGATATATTATTGTGGTTAAAAAAACAACAATGCCACAACTGAAAAGATTCTCTGAGCACTCGGATTTTTTTTTTTAATCTTTATTGAATAGTCCTCGACTCACGTCGGTCTCTTTGACGACCGTTCAAAGTTACGACGGCTCTGAAAAATAAAGGACTTATGATCGTTTTCCCCCAAAAGATGGGGCAGTGGACCATACAGGCCGGTCCTCTACTTACGACAGCTCATTTAGCGACCGTTCGAAGTTACAACAGCACTGGAAAAAGGTGGCTCATGACCGTTTCTCACAGTTACAACCTCTGCAGCACCCCCAGGGTCACATGATCAGAATCCACTCGTATTTATGACGGGATCCCCTTTTGCGACCGTCTGACGAGCAGAGCCAGTGGGGAAGCTTAATGACCGTGTAGCTAACTTACCAACTGCAGCGATTAGTTTACGAACTATGGCAAAGGAAGGCTGCAAAATGGGGCAAAACGGCACTGCACAAGAGTCTCACTCAACGACAGGAAACAGTCGTAAGTGGAGGACTACCTGCCTGTGTGCAATTTTGCCAATTCTGGGCCAAGCTGCCGAGGAAACGTCCAAAAGTGCGATGCAGGCGTTACTATCCCCTAAAGCAGCAGTTCTCCACCTGTGGGTCGGGACCCCATTTGGAGTCGAACGACCATTTCACGGGGGTCGCCAAACAACGCAGTCCACCATTTTTTTCCCCCTTTTCCTTAGCTGTGCTACTCCCTTTGATTCTATTGGCTTTTGAAAGCCAATAGAATAGACTCTCTTGAATAGAGTCTAATTCTATTGGCTTTCAAAAGCCAATAGGAATTGTCCAGGCTGTCTCTGCCCTGCTGAGCCCGCCAAAAGTCCCATTCTGCAAACGGTGCTGCACCAGTTGAGTAGTCCTCGATTTACGACCGGTTGAGTAGTCCTCGACTTACGACCGGTTGGGGATCGCGGCATTAAAAAGGTTGAGAACCACTGGTCTAAAATAATAAAAATTAAAAAAAAAAAGAATAGACTCTCTTGAATAGAGTCTAATTATATTGGCTTTCAAAAGCCAATAGGAATTGTCCAGGCTGTCCTCCACTTACGACCGGTTGGGCAATCCTCGACTTACGACTGGTTGGGGGTCACGGCATTAAAAAGGTTGAGAACCACTGGTCTAAAATAATAAAAATTAAAAAAAAAAAATAGACTCTCTTGAATAGAGTCTAATTCTATTGGCTTTCAAAAGCCAATAGGAATTGTCCAGGCTGTCCTCCACTTACGACCGGTTGGGCAATCCTTGACTTACGACCGGTTGGGGGTCACGGCATTAAAAAGGTTAGAACCACTGCCCTAAAGAGACGGCCTCAAGGACCTTCTTAGCCCGTAAAATCTTGAATATTCCTTCCTCAGGAAAAAGCACAAAAGGGATTTATCGCTTCTAAAAGCGTGATGTCCGTTTACACCTCCTGCTAAAGAGATTCTTCTAAGGCAGCGTCTCAGGCACCGTCCAGATGGAGCGGTGAGTCATTAAACGCTCCTATTTTTCCTGACTTTTATTATAATGATAACAGGCATCTGCTCGCACGGCTGAGTTCCCGGCATGATGCACGAAGCTAGAAGGGGACTGAACAATGCTAGGAGTGTGTTTCAGGGGGGGAGAAGGGACGTGTTGGCAAGAAGGGGGGGGGGAGAACCTAATTAAATCTCCGCCTGAAAAACTTCGAAGAACACCTAATTTTGTGCTGGGAACTAGCAACAAGCATTTGTCCAAAAACAAAAATAAAAATAATAAATTGAGAATAATATTGATGTTAGCCGATGTAAAAATAGCGTCGTGGGGATAAAAAAAAACGTAGCATCAGCTACAGGGAGATGACAGCTTTTAATTAAGGAGCTATAAATCTCACAGCATTAACTGCTCCGAGATGCAATAAAGCTATGGTTGGGAAATATCTTATTTTGGCCGAACGGGGAATAGAATAGCAAAATTTTGTGGCATCTCGTGGGCTTCTTGTCCAAGCTAGCATAGATGAGAAAAGAAGCAAACCTTTTGCTCCCGTCCAGCATTGATGATGTTACCTAGTTTGGTAATGAAATGTCTGCAAGAAAAGCACCTTTAGGAATGGCTTGGAAACATATTGCAATGGCTTGGAAATTTACTTACTACTCTGAGTTTTCTGTGTCTAGTCTTAAAAGGAGTCCTTGGTGATCTCTGAGCTGGCTTGTTTTCTTGCAGGGGTCTCATTACTCAAAGCACTGATGATGTTGCCTAGTTGGGTCATGAAATGTCTGTGAAAAACCCGCCAAGCTCAGAGAGCACCAAGGACCCCACATTTCAAACCCTGAGCTACAAATATTGTTCTTTATTGGTAATCTTAAAATGACGATTAGTTTTCTGTTTTTCCTGCTAGGCCAGGGGTAGGCCACCTTGGCTCTTTTGTGACTGGTGGACTTCAACTCCCAGAATTCCTGAGCCAGCCATGCTGAGGGGAAAGGGAGAGGTTTCCAAGCTGAGCCAGGCTGGCTCAGGAATTCTGGGAGTTGAAGTCCACGAGTCATGAGGGGGCCATAGTTCCCCCATGCTGGCTCAGGAATTCTGGGAGTTGAAGTCCACAAGTCATGAGGGGCCATTCTGGGAGTTTCCCCAGTCATGAGGGGGCCATAGTTCCCCCATGCTGGCTGAGGAATTCTGGGAGTTGAAGTCCACCAGTCATGAGGGGGCCATAGTTCCCCCATGCTGGCTCAGGAATTCTGGGAGTTGAAGTCCACGAATCATGAGAGGGCCATAGTTCCCCCATGCTGGCTGAGGAATTCTGGGAGTTGAAGTCCACCAGTCATGAAGGGGCCATAGTTTCCCCATGCTGGCTCAGGAATTCTGGGAGTTGAAGTCCATGGAAGGAAGGAAGGAGAGAGGGAGGAGGGAAACAGAGAGAAAGAAAGAAAGAAAGAAAGAAAGAAAGAAAGAAAGAAAGAAAGAAAGAAAGAAAGAAAGAAAGAAAGAAAGAAAGAAAGAAAGAAAGAAGGAAGGAAGGAAGGAGAGAGGGAGGGAGGAAACAGAGAAAGAAAGAAAGAAAGAAAGAAAGAAAGAAAGAAAGAAAGAAAGAAAGAAAGAAAGAAAGAAAGAAAGGAGGGAGGGAGGGAGGGAGGGGGGAGGGAAGAAAGAAAGAAAGAAAGAAAGAAAGAAAGAAAGAAAGAAAGAAAGAAAGAAAGAAAGAAAGGGGAGAGACAAAGAGAAAAAGGGAGGGAGGGAGGGAGAGAGAGAGAGAGTCCTTCCATCCTTCAGTCAGAACCGAAGAAGCATCTTGGATGAGAAGCAAAACATCTTCCAGGAAAAACAAGGAAGTCCAGTTGCCTTTTGAAAACGCACCTTTGGGATAACTCTAGCTAGATCATACGGACAGGTGCCAGCTGCTGCTCCACCTTCAACCAAGAAGCCCAGGGATCGGAGTTATATTTTGGAAGGAAGACCGGTGGTTGTGGACTGGAGAAGAGAACACGAAGGTTCCTGGGCATGAATTCAGATTCATCTCTGCAATCGCTCCAGGTGCTCTACTTTAAACGAAAGCCCGTCATTTATTTTGCAGCACCTCCACCGCGATGCGTTCAAGTGGAGAAATCTGCTAAAACGAGCCCTCTCCAGTTTTTTTTTTTTTATTATTTTCTTTCATGCTCAGATGAAAAGGACATTTACCTCCTCAGAGGAACTCTGAAGTAAGTGGGCTCCTGATATGGGCAGCTTGGAAAAAAGGACTAATGAAGCCCGCGTATCTTTTGTGAAGCTCTCAGGACTGAAGTACAAAGCTTCCGGAGCCTTTAATTTTCACACCTTTCTTCTTGAAAATGTAACTTTTAAATGGAAATCTCTCTTTTTTAAAAAAAGAAGAAGAAGAAGCTCGAAAATGGAGCTTTAAACTTTAAACGGCAAGATTCTCCCTTTTCTCTATTTCTTCTTCAGAAGCAATGTAAGGGCTTCTAACGATAAGTCCTCGACTTATAACCACCATGGAGACCCCACATTTCTGTTGTTAAGTGAGAACATGTGTTAGGTGGGGTTTTGCCCCATTTGATGACCTTCCTGCCACCGTTGTTAAAAGTGAATCCCCCTTGAGGGGGGATACATGAGCCCTGCGAGGTCAGGATCGGGCCCATGCCCATTTCTCCTCCCATTGTCCCGTTGCGGGACAGGCAGTCCTCCACTTATAACCATTCGTTTAGCGACCTTTCGATCATGCGCACGTTGCTTCTATGTAAGGCTGTAGGTCTATACGTATGTTGCGTATAGTATGTTTAAATGTGTGTTATGTATGTGTACACTTTGAGATCAAGCAACTATATTTCATTTTTAATGGGTGCCACTGTGCCCACAGTAAAAAAAATGACAATAAAGATTATCTATCTATCTATCTATCTATCTATCCATCCATCCATCTATCTATCCACCTATCTCTATTCTATCTATCCATCTATCGTCTATCTATCTATCTATCTATCCATCTATCCAGCCATCCATCTATCTATCTATCTATCTATCTATCTATCTATCTATCTATCTATCTATCTATCTATCTATCTATCTATCTATCTATCTATCTCTCCATCTATCCACCCATCCTGTCTGTCTGTCTATCTATATTTCATTTTTAAAAGGTGCCACTGTGCCCACAAAAAAAGGTTATCTATCTATCTATCTATCTATCTATCTATCTATCTATCTATCTCTTCATCTATCTATCTATCTATCTATCTATCTATCTATCCATGTATCCATCTATCCATCTATCTATCTATCTCTATCTATCTATCCATCCATCTATCCATCTATCTCTTCATCTATCTATCTCTATCTATCCATCCATCTATCCATCTATCTCTTCATCTATCTATCTCTATCTATCTATCCATCTATCCATCTATCTCTTCATCTATCTATCTATCTATCTATCTATCCATCTATCCATCTATCCATCTATCTATCCATCTATCTCTTCATCTATCTATCTATCTCTATCTATCCATCTATCTATCCATCTATCTCTTCATCTATCTATCTATCTATCTATCTATCTATCTATCTATCTATCTATCTATCTATCTATCTATCTATCCATCCATCCATCCATCCATCCATCCATCTATCCATCTATCCACCCATCCACCCATCCTATCTATCTGTCTGTCTGTCTGTCTATCCTCTCATCTCTCCATTTTTCTATCTCTCTATCTATCCTCTGCCTGCCCATCCATTTGTCCATCCATCCTCTCTATTCTATCTATCTCTATCTACCCATCCATCCATCCACCCACCCACCCACCCACCCATCGCGCCATCCAAAGAAAAGGAGCCTCACCGTTTCAGTTTCATGTAATTTTCGTTGGCTGCCGGTCGGCATTCTGCCCGCTGGACCACGATTCCTTCCAGGGACAGTTTTTCTAGAACCGAAGGAGACCCAAATTAGCACCAAGTCCCACCCAAAAAAAAAAAAAAAGAGAGAGAAAGAGAGAGAGATTTTTGGTTCTGCAATATACAGGCAGTCCTCGACTTAGCAGCAGTTCATTTAGTGACCGTCTGAAGTTAAATTGGCACTGAAAAAAAACAAGCGACTTAAGACCACTGTTCACACTTACGACCACTGCACCGTCCTTGTGGTCACGGGATCAAAATTCAGACAGTTGGGAACGGATTCATACTTACGACGGTCGCAGCGTCCCGGAGGGGGGGTCACACGATCCCCTTTTGTGACCTTCGGACAAGCAAAGCCAATGGGAGAAGCCAGGTTCACTTAACAACCAGATTTCTAACTTCGCAACTGCAGTGATTCCCTTAACAATCGTTGGCCAGGAAAGTCGTAACAAAAGGGGGGAAGTGTCACTTAACAAATGTCTCGCTTAGCAACGGAAATTTTGGGCTCAATTGTGGTCATAGGTCAAGGACTACCTATGTGTCTCCTGGAATACGGTACTCTTCTCAAGACTTTGCAGAATTTCATTTATTTTTTTTTGTTGGATGCTACAGAACCCGTTGATTCAACCATTCCAGTGAAACAAACCCCCTTATAAACGCAGAAGACGTTCCCCAATGTTATAAAAAGCATCAATCTGTCTTCTCTCGCACAGGTGTGCCAGCCACACCATTCCCTGTTTTCGTTGAAGGGATACCAGCACATGGCTTTCTTCCACCAGAAACGCGGGGCTCAGCAGCCCAGAAATAATTTCGTTGTTAATATAGTGGCAGCTATTTATAAGGCAGCTGAATGATATTTGCAGGGAAAGGCATCTACGTTCTTAAATCTGCTAATTTAATATGCTAATCAGCACGCACCTGCCTTGTAGCAAGCTAAAGAATAAAACCCAGGGAATTAATTCACGCGACTGGGGGCAAAAGCTTGGAAACCGGAAACGTTGTGTGGGAATATTATTTTAGCGTCCTGCGTTTGTTCATATATGTTTACTTTTGCACAGTTTATTGACCAAAGTAACTGAAAACAGACTGGGAGAAAACCAAGATGAAAAACAGCCAACGATGGGAAAGGATGCCCACCAATGAATTGGTTACTCTATACTTAAAAGCTAGCTAGAAAGCCCGTTTTTTGGGAGGGGGGGGGTAAAAGAGGAGACTCTAGTTGTCTCTTAGGCAGGGAACTGGCTAGGTGACTTTGGGTCGGCCACTCTCAGCCCAATACTGGGAAGTCAAAAAAAAACAAAAACAAAAAAACCCCCAAAAACACAACCAACCCCATCCATCTATCAATCCACATTGTGCAGTACGGTCAAATGTGGTCCATGATCTTTAGCAAAGGTTTCAGACGGCAGTGGATTGGTGTATGAGTGTGTGTGTGTGTGTGTGTGTGTGTGTGTGTGTGTGAGAAAGAGAGAGAGAGAGAGAGAGAGAGACAGAGACAGAGACAAAGAGACAGAGACAGACAGACAGACAGACAGACAATGAGAAAATAACAACATGGAGGTCTTCTGGTCCAACCCCGTGTGTGTGTGTGTGTGTGTGTGTGTGTGTGTGTGTGAGAGAGAGAGAGAGAGAGAGAGAGAGAGAGAGAGAGACAGACAGACAGACAGACAGACACAATGAGAAAATAACAACATGAGGTCTTCTGGTCCAACCCCCGTGTGTGTGTGTGTGTGTGTGTGTGTGTGTGTGTGTGTGTGTGTGAGAGAGAGAGAGAGAGAGAGAGAGAGAGAGAAAGTAGGAAGGGAGGGAGGGGAGAGAGGAAGAGAAAAAGGAAGGGAGGGAGGGAGAGAGAGAGAGAAGAAATAGCAAGAGGGAAAGAAAGCGAGAAAGAAAGAATGAGAGAGAGAGAGAAAGGAGAGAAAGAAAATAGAGACAGTAAGAGAAAGAGAGAGAAAAGAAAAAGAGATACAGAGATAGAAATAGAGAGAGAGAGAGCGGGAGAGGGAGAGAGAAAGAAAGGAGAGAGAGAGAGAGAAAGAGAAAGAAAAAGAGTAAGAGAGAGAAAAAATAGGGACAGAGCAAGAGAGAGAGACAGAGAGAGACAGGCAGAAAGCCAGAAAGAAAGAGAGAGAGAGAAAGAGGGGGGACAGAGAGGGGGAGAGAAAGAGAGGGGGAGAGAAAGAAAGAAAAAAGAGAAAGAAATAGATGAAAGAAAGTTTGTGTGACAGAGAAAGAAACAGATCGAGAGAGAGAGAGAGAGAGAGAGAGAGAGAGAGAGAGAGTAAGAGAGAAAGAAAGACACGGAGTGCTTTTTAACAGATCCCATCCGCCAGGGTGTGACGGGGCTGCTCCTGATTGTATCCCCCTCTTAGAGACGGCTGACCTCCGCAGTGTCTCAGGTCTAACTTCATTTCCAAGAGCTGCTTTGAACTCCACAGGTGGGGGGGGAGGCAGCCCCCCCATCCCATCTTGCCTTGTGCAGCTGCTCTGCAATCCCGGGAGAAAGACACGGCTGCTTTAAAGCATCGCAGCTGGGTGAGCCGGCCTTGGGCTCGGAGACACCGCTTGGAGGCCCCCTCCGAAGGGCTGCGCTGCTTCCGTCAGGAATGCCTAGCCAACGGAAGGCGCACGGGGAAACCGTTGCAGGTTGTGCCTCTCCTCCCTACCTCTGTGACGCCACAGACCCTCTTGGAAGCATCAAACGCATCCAAAAGGCCAACCCAATACAGGGGGTCCCCAACCTTGGCGACCGTTTGAAGTTACAAGGCCGTCCCAAAGGACACTTGTGACTGTTTTCACGCTCACGAGCGTTGCAGCATCCCCAGGATATTCTGATTAAAATCTAAACGCTTGGCAAACCGACTCGTACTTATGACGGTTGCCATGTCCCGCGGGTCCTTCTGACCAGCAACGTCAAGGAGGGGGGGGGGTGAAGTCAGGTTCACTTAACCACCGGTTACTAACTTAACCCCTGCAGTCATTCGCATTCACAATTCTGGCAAGAAAGGGGTAGGATGGGGCCACATTCGCTTAACAAATGTCTTGCTTAGCGGTGGAAATTTTGGACTCGTAAGCCGAGGAACACCTGTAGCTAGAAAGTCCTCCTTGATTCCTGTGATTCTGACAAATAAAACGCCAGCTACCTCCGTTTCATAGGCTCCCTCCTGTAGGGAAAGCTAGGAATCGTTAAGCCGCTGTGCTTCTGGTCTGGCACGGAAAGCTGCAGTTTCTCCCCTTCTCCTCTTGGGAGATCTCAGCCCTCTATTTTTTTCCCCCGCTTACACCTTGCTGCAAATGTTTGCATTTTGGAAAACTCCGCCTTAAAGCCACGGCAGCTACACCCAGAAGCAAGCCAGCTGCGTGGAAGTGTTACTAAGGGGTTATGCTACTGGCGCGCCGAGGTTTGACCTGCCAAAATCCTCTTCTCCACAGGAAACACGGAATCCCATTTTTACTGGAAAGAAACGGGGTCCCTCGACTATTTATCTCCCCAAGAACCCAACTCTAGATAGGTCCTCTTGTCTGTCGCAATTTGCAGGCAAAGCGTGGCTTTGTGTCCTGAATAACACCCAACCCCTTACAATCCTGTTTCTCAGGCTATTTGAAAGCAAATTCCACCCTAGCAGCGCCACGTAAAATCCACGCTTCTTGCCGAGGGTTTCAAAGCGGAACTGCCGGGTTTTCAATATTTTAACTGCTGCCTTTTTTGTCTCCAAAGATGCCCAGCCAACAATGAGGATGCAAAGCTCTGGAAAAACGAGTCGGCTGTCTTAAAACGGAACGGGGTTCCCATTTTTTTCTTTCTTTCAAAGAAGGGTTATGAATCCCTTAAAAAGGTATCTCGTTGCACAAAAAAAGGGAATGAAATAAAGGCGTGCTCTTTTGTTTCATCCATCTCTCCCCCCCTCCCCAAATCTGGCTTCCCCACGCGGGCATTCACTTTCTGACTTTCTCCCTTAATAATGTCAATTCTGGGGACTTCCAAGAGGCAAGGAAAGACACTTTTTTTTCTCTCCCTCCGCCCCCCCTCTCCTCTGCAACCATCCTCTTACCCTCACACGGTTAAATGCAAATTCAGCTTCCCAGACCTGCTCCTAGGAACACGCAGCACACACAGTTCCTACGCCACCTACTGCAAAGCTGAGCTGACAAGCTCATGCAAGACTCAGGGCACTTCTTACCGACTAGCCTGCTTCCCGGGCTGAATCGAGGGGTTTTCGGAAGGAAATCTCCTGCCTGCCCGAAGCAGAAAAGAGGAGCAAGGCAAGGCGGCCGGGAGGGTGACCCTAGGAGCATCCTTCGGAGCATCCCGCGCCAACGAGCCCACCACCGGCTGTGTGAAATGGAGAACGGGAAGAAAGGCAGCAGCCAGTCGGAAGGCAGCGACCAAGACAAGAACCATAACATGTCTCCAGTGACTCTCAACGTGGGGGGCTACCTCTACGTGACCCAGAGGCAAACTCTCACCAGATACACGGACTCCTTGCTGGAAAGAGTGGTGAACGGGAAGACGCTCTGCCCGTCGGACGCAGAGGGCCATTTTTTCATCGACAGAGACGGTCTCCTCTTCAGACACGTCCTGAACTTCCTAAGGAACGGGGAGCTGCTTCTCCCCGAGGGCTTCAAGGAGAGCCAACTTCTGGCCCAGGAGGCGGAATTTTTCCAGCTTCACCTCTTGACGGAGGCAGTGAAATCCAGGTGGGAGAAGGAGCAGCTGGCCTCCCGGGAAGCTACCTTCTTGGAGATCACCGACAGCCACGACCGTGCCCAGGGCCTGCGGATTTTTTGCAACGCGCCCGACTTCATCGCCAAAATCAAATCCCGCATCGTTCTGGTCTCGAAAAGCCGGCTGGACGGTTTCCCCGAAGAGTTCTCCGTCTCTTCCAACATCATTCAGTTTAAGTACTTCATCAAATCGGAAAACGGGACCCGGCTGGTGTTGAAGGAAGACAACACCTTCGTGTGCACCTTGGAGACGCTCAAGTTTGAGGCCATCATGATGGCCCTCAAGTGCGGCTTCCGGCTGCTGACCAGCCTGGATTGTTCGAAAGGATCCATCGTCCACAGCGACGCGCTTCACTTCATCAAGTAATGAACTTGGGGGCCCAAGGCCACAAAAGCATGCAGCCGGTCGGTCTCATCAAACTTCCAACCGTCGGCCGACGGTTTATCCGGCTCGGCTAATCCCACAGCCCTGCGGCTCATGAATTCACGAGAACTCGTGGTATGTAACATTGGTAAAAGCCCACCTGCCAGTTCGTTGTGTCCGTCTGAATAACAACCACCGTAATAAAAGCAAAAGAAAAAAAAAGGGGGTGTTTGTGAGATGTGATCAAAACCAAAGGGAGCGCTGAAGTGTTTGCTCGCTTCTGCTTTTCTCACGCTGAGCCCGGGGACGAACGAACAGGCTGGTCTGCATTTCAGCACGGACAGAATGCGTTGCTTCACCCTCCGCTCCAGAATGATAAAAATGCTCTTCTCGTTCTGGCTGTTATTTATCTTTCTAGGCTGATCCTGGTTCCAGTGGGAAAACAGTTTGTCTCTCGGTTGGTTGATCTTTAAATACGCAGCGCGGTTGCAGGAATTGGGGATGTTTAGTTTAATGGAAAGAAGGACCAGGGGGTGACCTGATAGCAGCCATCCAATATTTGAGGGGCTGCCACAAAGAAAAGGAGGGGGGGTCCACCTCTTCTCCAAAGCACCTGAAGGGGGAGGACCAGAAGCAACGGATGGAAACTAACCAAGGAGAGAAGCAAGGTGGAATGAAGGAGGAATTTCCTGACAGGGAGAACAATTAGCCAGTGGAACTCTTTGCCTCCAGATGTTGTGGGTGCTCCAACACTGGAGGCTTTTAACAAGAGACGGGAATGGTTATAGGGTCCTCTGCCTGAGCAGGGGGTTGGACTAGAAGACCTCCAAGGTCTCTTCCAACACTTCTATTCTATTCTATTCTATTCTATTCTATTCTATTCTATTCTATTCTATTCTATTCTATTCTATTCTATTCTATTCTATTCTAATTCCACATTCTATTCTATTCTATTCTATTCTATTCTATTCTATTCTATTCTATTCTATTCCATTCCATTCCATTCCACATATTCTATTCTATTCCATTCCATCCATTCCATTCCATTCCACGTATTCTATTCTATTCTATTCTATTCTATTCTATTCTATTCTATTCTATTCCATTCCATTCCATTCTATGGTTATAGGGTCTTCTGACCGAGCAGGGGGTTGGACTAGATGACCTCCAAGGTCCCTTCCAGCTCTATTCTATTCTATTCTATTCTATTCTATTCTATTCTATTCTATTCTATTCTATTCTATTCTATTCTATTCTATTCTATTCCATTCTCCATTCATATTCTATTCTATTCTATTCTATTCTATTCTATTCTATTCTATTCTATTCTATTCTATTCCATTCCATTCCATTCCATTCCATTCTATGGTTATAGGGTCTTCTGACCGAGCAGGGGGTTGGACTAGATGACCTCCAAGGTCCCTTCCAGCTCTATTCTATTCTATTCTATTCTATTCTATTCTATTCTATTCTATTCTATTCTATTCTATTCCATTCTCCATTCATATTCTATTCTATTCTATTCTATTCTATTCTATTCTATTCTATTCTATTCTATTCTATTCTATTCTATGGTTATAGGGTCTTCTGACCGAGCAGGGGGTTGGACTAAATGACCTCCAAGGTCCCTTCCAACTCTGCCATTCTGTAAATCACCCTGCAAGGTCTCAGATCTAGTGGGATTTAAAAGTGTACACAGACACCCACTGTATTTAACTAGCAACAGAGAAGATGCTACATCATGTATAGTTCAGGAAAGGAAAGGGGGAAAAAAACATCTAATCTCTTATTAACTTTGGTCCTTTAGAAAACAGTGATTTAGACAGTACGCCGAGACAAAACAGTTCCTAGTTCCAGAAAAGACTTTGATGTCATCTTTTTTACATTTTAAAAATCCCTTTTTTTTTTGAAAAGATAGGTACTTCTCGATCACAACCGAGCCCAACCTTTTCCGTTGCTAAATGAGACGCTCGTTCAGTGAGTTTTGCCCCATTTTACGGCCTTTCTTGCCATGGTCGTTAAGCAAGTCACTGCAGCTGTTCAGTGAGTAACACAGTTGTTAAGTCAATCCGGCTTCCCCCGCTTGACTGTGCTTGACAGACGGTCGTAAAAGGGGATCCCTGAGACCGTCATAAGTACGAACCAGTTGCCAAGGGTCTGAATGTGGATCACCTGATCATGGGGACGCTTCAAAAGTTGTAACTGGCGGAGGAGAAAAGGTCACAAAATCACTTTTTTTTCAGTGCCGTTGTAACTTGGAACAGTCACTAAACGAACCAGCCAGGAGTACTTGCACACATTTGTGCCACAATAAGGGGGGGGGGAATCTAGTTAACCCGGCAGAGGAGACAGCTACACACGGTAAGATGTGAGACGCACACCACACCTCAACACTATGAGTGTCGCACACGACAACCAGGCTTTCAATTGCACAGGGGGCTGCCAGGATGGTGGGAATCAACAGCCAACTTTGCTTTCCGTCATTAACTTCATTTGCTTCCTTAAAAACTCCAGGTTTTCTGTCCAAACTACAGCAATAAAGTCTTCTGGTTTGTTTTTTTTTTTTTCTATCAGCAGGGATGCACAAAGCCTAAGCGTGTTGTAGTCGGCATTTACTACAACTTCCAATTATTTCTGCCCTGTGTTCAAGAGTGGACGTCGCTCCAGGGCAGCTTAGAGTAACCGGCTAATATATTAATCCACTCACATTTTAAGCCGTTTAAAAACATCTGGATTCTTTCCGAGGGGTGGAGGCTGGCTGGTGTGTGTGTGTGTGTGTGTGTGTGTGTGTGTGAGGAGACCGGTAAGGGTTTCAAATGTTCAAAGCGCTGGATGTGCGTTAAACTGCTATCATCTTCACTATTTAGAAAGAAAATTCATGGGATTGTGGTGTTATTCCTCTATTTATTAATTTTATTTTTATTTCAAATGGTTACAATGGGTTGCATTCTTGCAAACGGGGGGGGGCAAGGTTCATAGGCAACGCACACTGTGTTCAAAAAGCAGCAAGATTTAATATAACCCGGATCATTCGATAAATGATTTGTTAGCACCTGAAGCCAGAAGAAGCAGCCATGGATGGAAACTAACCAAGGAGAGAAGCAACCTGGAATTAAGGAGAAACTTCCTGACAGCGAGAACAATCAACCAGTGGAACAGCTTGCCACCAGAAATCGTGGGCCTTCCATCCCTGGAGCTTTTAAAGAAGAGACTAGAAAATCACCTGTCTGAGATGGTTTAGGTTCTCCTGCTTAAGCAGGGGGTGGACTAGAAGACCTCCAGGATCCCTTCCAGCTCTCTTCTATTCCAAATTATGCTCTGGGCCACGATTACAGCTAACCCAAGTATTTTATTCTACCGGAGGAAGGAAGCAGCCATGGCTAAAAGCGACTTCTGTTTTGCAAGCTACACAGTGGAGAGAAGTAAGCATTAGGTAAAGAACTGTGAGCAAACAATGCAGAAAAGGCACTGTAATTAACAGGTCTGCCTTCCTTGCTATTAGTAATTTCCTGATTCAAGAAGTGAATAGCGTGTTCAAATAAGCCAGTTTCCCACTTTTTTTTTTTAAATTAAAAAGCAAGGAAAAATTTGGTCCTCGTGGCGCACCATCTGTTGTCATCTCTATTATTCATCCCACTTTCTAATGCGACAAATTCCTGGAATTAATTTGCCACACCAGAGAATTAGATCCCAAGAGAATGTGGGGTGAAGGGTTGAGACTCTCCAAGGCAGGGGTCTTCAAAGTTGGCCCTTGGATGACTTGTGGACTTCAACTCCCAGAATTCCTGTTCGGTTCTGTTCCATTCTGCAATCTATTCTATTCTATTCTATTCTATTCTATTCTATTCTATTCCATTCCATTCCATTCCATTCCATTTCTTATTCTATTCTATTCTATTCTATTCTATTCTATTCTATTCCATTCCATTCTGCATTCTGTTCTATTCTATTCTATTCTATTCTATTCTATTCTATTCTATTCTATTCTATTCTATTCTATTCCATTCCATTCTGCATTCTATTCCATTCCATTCCATTCCATTCCATTCCATTCCATTCCATTTTATTCCATTCCATTCTGCATTCTATTCTATTCTATTCCATTCCATATTCTATTCTATTCTATTCTGTTCTGTTCTGTTCTGTTCTATTCCATTCCATTCCATTTTGCATTCTATTCCATTCCATTCCATTTTATTCCATTCCATTCTGCATTCTATTCTATTCCATTCCATATTCTATTCTATTCTATACTATTCTATTCTATTCTATTCCATTCCATTCCGCATTCTATTCTATTCTATTCTATTCTATTCTATTCTATTCCATTTCATTCCATTCTATTCCATATTCCATTCCATTCTATATTCCATTCCATTCCGTATTCTATTCTATTCTATTCCATATTCCATTCCATTCCATTCTATTCCATATTCCATTCCATTCCGTATTCTATTCTATTCCATTCCATTTCATTCCATTCCATTCTGAGCACAATGCCTCACGAGGTCAGTGGCTCACCTCAATACTCCAAACAGTGGTTTGAGTAAGGATGGAGGAACTTTGAGTCCCATCTGCCTTTAGAAATAATATGCCACAGCATCCAAATAGCGAAATCTGCTTAACTCTTTCTCAAAAAAAAAAAAAAAAAAAAAAAACAGGACCTGAAACCAGTGGATAGTTTGATTTTTAATCTGAGGCCAATTATAGCTGTCATCGAGAAGCCGTTGCAGAGGGAAATTGCGTGAGGAAAGAAGTGGAGTGCTTGAGGCTTATTTGACAATAATTACTCAATTCAGTAATTAGCGGAGGGAAATGCACAATTCTGGTAAATTGAGGGCAGAGAGGAAGCACACCCTCTCTTCCAAACAAAAGAGACAAGCTTTCCGTGCCAACATAACTCCATCTACCCAATTTTCAAAACTCCTGAATTCAGGTCTCTGAAAAACACATCACCGCTGAGAAAAAAGAATGGGACAAAAATCTAGAAACAAGATTTCTTAAAAACATTAAAAGTGTCAGAATGTTAATTCTCATTGTATGTGAGGATTGAGGTCTGTGAAAAGTTGTCACGAGAAGCTTCCAAGTGCCAACTCAAAATAGATAACTGCTTGACTATGGAATAACAAGAGTCAGAAGGGACCTGGGAGGTCATCTAGTCCAACCCCCCGCTCAGGCAGGAAACCCTGTACCATTTCAGACAAATGGTTGTCTAATCTCTTCTTAAAAACGTCCAGTGTTGGAGCATCCACAACTTCTGGAGGCAGGTTGTTCCACTGGTGAATTGAAGACCAGCACCATCGTGGTCCATATTCTCAAAAGGTCACCATCATGCTGGAACTGGAGATATCTTAAAAAATTCCCCACACTATTTAGACCCCATAGATGTTTCCTTTCAAAAGGCAACTGGACTTTCTTGTTTTCCTTTGAAGACGTTTCGCTTCTCATCCCAGAAGCTTCTTCAGCTCTGACTGGAGGGTGGGAAAATGGAAGGATTTATGCTCCTTGCAGACCGCTGGTCATTTGCACTCTCGCTAAGAG